TTTACCTACATAAAATAATTTTTAAAAAATAAAAATTAAAAATAATTTTCTTTTTAAAATTTAAATAAAACAAAATTTAAACTCAAAAATCCCATTATTGCCAATTGCGTCAGTGTTGAACGGAAATGGCACTGATTGCAATTGAAGCAGAAAAAAGAATAAAATAATTAGTCTTTTTTAATTGTTTTAGACTTAAAAACCCTTTAAATAAAAAATATAATTGTCTCTGTCATTTGTGCAATGGTTTGGAAAACTTCTGAGAGGGAAAAAAGAAAAAAATTGGCTAATTAAAAAAGGAGGCATTAATATATAAAAATTAAATTTAGATAAAAGATTTTTAGTTTATTTTAAGTATATAAAATTAAATAAATTAATTAGGGAATTTATTTTTGGTTTGCATATAGCCATAGAGGCGTAATTTAATTTTTACAAAATTCTCTCCTTTGCCCTAAATAAAAAATTTAATTTTTAATCAAATTATTTTAGAACTTTTTTGGCATTCTTTAACGTGTTGGGTTAATAATGATTTGGAAAATAAATCAGAAATCGTTAGTGTAGCGGATCCGAAGATCCAAATCTGAAAAAAGTTTGGATAAACGACATTTTCGATTCGAACATTGGATCTAGATACGCGAAGATTTCCAAGGATCAAACCAAGTATGGTTAATTAATAAATAAAAACACTTTACCTTGTATTTAAATACAAAATAGGTAATAAAATATTTAAAAATGCCTAATCAAAGCATAAGAAAAAAATTGAAAAAAATTTAAAAAGTTTAGCTATCATAGTAAATATTTTAAAATAAATTATAATAAAGTTCAAAAAATATTAAGTCTATTTAACAAATAAATTTTCTTAATTTAGCTTTCTTAATTTAATTTATTAATTTACCAAAAAATTTCTAAAAATATCCATTTTAACCTTTAAACGATATAAAATTCTAAAATTAAATCTAAATAAATTAATAAAGTAAAAGTTTATATACCTAATTTATTTAAAAATTTTTTTAAATTAAATTACAGTAAAATATTTTATAAAAAATATTTAAAGCATGTGATTAAATACGTAATAAAATAAAAAAAGTTAAAAAAAATTTTAAAATAAATTGGGCAGTAGACAATGAATTTTGGTCTGACATAAGTGAAGCGGAAAAATTATAAAGAAAAATTTAAAAACTCTGTTACGTAAAATTTAAATTTTAAAAACAGGAAATTAAAAAAAAAGTTGGGAAACTCGTCACGATATAAAAAATATTTGAAAAACGTTTAATGAAACAAAAAATATATGTGAAGAAAGACAAAACTCGAAAATTAAAAAATTTAAAAATCAAAGCTTTAATCAAATTTTGTTTAAAATAATTTAATCAAGGCATTAATTTTGGTATTGGCTTTCTAATGGGTAAAATTAAAGTTCGTATACCGTCTCTTTTTTCTTTCTTCCAAATATTATAAATGATTTTCTCTAACTTTTATGGGTTACAGAGCTTGAACTACTTCACAAAAACCGAACTTGTTTCAAGTGCGGGAGTCGAACTATCATTAGGAAAATTCAGGATAGACGTTACGGAAATTGTTGCTTTATAACAAAAGACAAAAATACGCCAATCCTGAAGAGGGATTGGCGTATTATCCACTACTACCATATATTCCGACATTTAAATTGCCTTACCTTATATGGCTGATATAATTACATTAAAAATAAAAATATAATTTTAAATTTATAATAGTAATGAATCATCATTAATTTCTCAATTATTTAGGATAAATATCACAACAAAATAAATACTATTTGTTATTCTATGATTTTCTCCTTCCGATTGCGCAACAGATGTACCTAAATTTAGAGGAAAATGAGAAAATAAAAAATAAAAATGTTATTATTCATCCTTTAATTCCTGCAAATATTGTAGAAATATAGTTTTGGAAAAATGGGGTCATATAAATAAATTAAAGTTTTGTTGTTTACTTTTGTATATTTTTGGAAATTTTGGATAGATGATTGATAGGAGAATATGAGGAGTATTCAGTTAAGAATAAATTAAGATATAAATTAAAAGGGAGATTTTAAGTAAATTGAGACTTAGAATAGCCTCGATTCCCGAAAATGGGGAATTAAGATTTCGACGGGAATTCTGAAATCGGGAATTTATTCTTTCATTCCAGTTAATGTTGAAATTGATGACCCTATAGCCAGAAAAATTTTTCGCCTAAGTTTAGTATCGAAACCATTAAAAAGCCAACGAAGGAATACTTTTAATGGGAATTTCTAGACTTACTATGGGAATTACTTGATCCACTCCATCAGATCACTCCGGACATAAATCTAAACGATTCTATAAAGGTTATGGTTATCCCCCTCACCCTTTCTTTTTCACAACCTGTTAAATTCGAAAAATAAAAGAATGTTTATCTCAACATAAAATAAACTTAATATAAAAGCCTTAAAATTTAATAAACTTCAAACATCCCTCCGCCTATCTCCAACAGCCGAGTGCATCCTTCTCAACAAAGAATGCCCTCAAGTTCAACCGGAAGTGTTGTAGTGCCGTCTAATTGCCTAATACTTATTGAAATGGTCCTTATGGTGTTTATGTAAGTCTTCTACTTTTAATTCCCAAAATCCCCTCATTCCTCCCCATTTTAAAGGCTATTTGTACATTCAATTGTTTTGTGTGCCAAACGTCAAAAACGTTCAGAACAACAATCTATAAAGGAGCGACAACAGCAAGGATTGGTAACTGAGGCTCAATGCACAAACATAGGCGGGACGCGGAATACTGTTGTCTATGCAACTCTCATTACGTGAGTTTAAAAAATTGGAGAGATTTTGAGGAAATAAAAATTTTTTAGAGATGCGGGCACAGGATTGGATACAAAAACTGCCGGATTTTCTGCTGTCGGAACTAAGAAGGATGCGGAAACAAAAGTGGGAACAAAAGGGGGACAGACAAAAATGGAGACAAAGGGACAGACAAAAGTGGAAGGGACACAGAAATTGTCGTAGTTTTCTGCTAGATATAAGAATGGATGGATGGATATTAAAAAAGGATATATATTTTTGTTGTGTGGTTGTTAATAATTAGTTGTTGTCTTTGTTTGTAGAATTTTGTAAATAAAATGTTATTGTAAAAATGGATAATATTTGGGTATTGTTTTGTTTGAACATAAAATTTTATCTTTCTTTATCCAAATTACAAAAGATTATCTAAAATATTATCGTACCAGTCCATAATCTTCATCTAATTTTTATAAGCCTCAATAACAGACGTTTATGGAGGCTCATTTGTCAGTGCAAAACTCTTTTTTGATAGAAGGCTTAGAGAACTTTTCAATAAAGACTAGGGTTGGAGTTTTTGAATTGGGTCGACGTTCGAGTAATTTTTTTGGATCTGATTTTTTTCGAATCGGCCGACCGAGCCAAAATTCGATGCGTGATTCGATAATTTGAACCCTAATAAAAACCTTTCAAAATTTCCACTAAATTTCAAATTCAAAGAATCTCCATTTAAAATGTTTTTCAAAAACAAAATTAACGTAATTAACTCTTAAAATTCTAAAAAGGGCAAAAAAAACAAAACAATTAGTTAAACAATTATCTTTTCGATGACAAGTTTTTAAGGCCAAAGTGTAAATAAAGGATTAAAAATACTAAAATACACGTAAATCCAAAAATCCGAACAATTAAAAAATAATTAAAATTCTACGTTATTTTTTTGTTTTTAATTTATAAACTATTTTTAGCATAAAATTGGCGTGAAATTAATTGTTTTGTTTTTAAATTTTAATTTTAATAAAAAAAAAATAAAAAATATTTCGTAGTAACTAAAAGGGATAGAGAAACTTTTCGTAATTTTTTTGAATCCCGTCCTCATGTCTATTGTACGTATTCCATTGTTTATACTTCTAAAAACTGCAGAGACGACTGGGAATTAGGGTTGCCGTTTTCGGTTCGAGTCGAAGTTCGGTGCATATTTTTCGAGCTTGGTTTTTTCGATTGGAATATATCGAAAATTTGTACAGAAAAAATAAAAAAATTTTAGTTTTGTTTTTAATACAAATTTTAATTAATTTTTTTCTCAGAATATTCGGAAATGTACATAAATACAGTCGTTACTACAAAACAAAATTACATACAACCCTATTTCAGATGAATTTTTTAATTTTAATTGGCCACTAGGTAGGGGGACGGGGTGGGGTGCTTAAGCGATACACTCAATTTAAAATAAAAAATAGGGTTGTTCCCCGACAAGGGGGAAGGGCCACGGGGATAACTTTTCGGGAAGGCAGCGCCACAAGAGTTGGGATGGGGACGGGGAAAATTTTTTCTTTTTTAATGGGGGACAGGGACTTGAAACAACCCTAGTAAATTATTTATTTAAAACGAAGTCAAGACTGTATTTATATTTTCATTAATGAATGGCATAAAGATGATTATCAAAAAACACAAAAAATATTTGTATACAATAATTATTTTTAGAAAATATATTTAACAAAACAATATTTTTAATTCAAAAAATCTTTTAATTAATCACCGATTATCTTCATTTCCAATAATTATTGTTTTGGGTTTCTCTCTGCTAAAATTACATATATCTATAGGAGGCTGATTTGAAGTTTGAGAAAAATATTCTTTATCAAGTAAATAATCATAACAGCCACGTACTATTACATCAAACCAAATTCCTAAAGAAAAATTAAATTTGGAAAAAATTTTTTACTGAAAATATGAAAATAATAAATCTAAAAATAAATGGGAAGTGAATTAAAATGGAATTTCAGATTAGAGCGCGGCTTAATAAATTTCGATTTTTGGTTAAATGTACATTTTAATTTTGTCAATTTTTTCGATTTAAATATTCTTTTTTCAATTTTTGTTAGAAAAAACTAACCAAGCCCTTTGGCCAGACTCTAATTGGGAGTTTCCCAATTTAAGGAGTCATGAAATCTCTAAATTTTGGGAAACTCCTAATTCAATTTCAGGCAATCCCAACCACAATTCCTTATTTATTGTTATTGTTAACAATGGATAAAGTTTCAAAATATTTCTTTAAAATAATCCTTCCCCTACCTAAAGCCGCACCAGAAAAAGAAAGTATTGCAATATTGAAAGGCCAGATAGGTCCAGCAACTTGTTCCATTTTATCTACTCTAACAAAATGGCTAAATATCCAATGTGTAGATTCCATACCAAGACACATTGAAGATATAGAAAATACAGCACCGGCCTTTATAAATACAAAAATTAGTTTTTTATTTTTAAATTTCTTTTTGTATTTCGTTAAATTTTATGTTTTTTTAAATTTAATTTTTCTAGTTTAGTATTTTAATTTGGTTGTGGTACGTTATATATAGCAGGGATCGTGCCGTTCCTATTGACGATTCCAGAAAATCGGAAATTCTCAGCGTTTATTGGGTCGGGAATTCAGATTCACGGAAAATATTGCAAAGCCAACCCATATTTTTAAAAAAACCAATCCTTAGGGGTGTAAAAAAGTTCCGGTTTGCCCGGAACCGATTTGTAAACCGGAGCCGGAACCGGAACCGGAACCAATTTGAGTTCCGGTTCCCGGAACCGGAACCAAAAAAACACCGGAACTTTCCGGAACCGGAACCGGAACCGGAACTTCCGGTGAAACTCTAGTAAAGATAATTAAAAATTAAAATCGAGTTCAAAAATTATTGGATTTTAGAAAAAAATTCGTTTGAAGCTAGAATACTAGTAGGTATATTCGAAAATTATTTACTAGATTTAACAAACAAATCTAATCTAAAATTCAGAAGAGAATGGAATATAAACACGGTAATTTGTGTTTGAAAACTTGTGATTTAAATTTGTTTTTGAGAAACAAAATAAATATTAGTGATCTTCGAGACTCGGCTTCGGTCCCGGTCGGCGACTAACAAAGATATAGGTAATTAATATATGTAGGTAATTATTTGTTGAACCATATTTAAATCCATTATTTGGATGTTTTAATTAAAACATACCAAAAGTAAACTAATCTCCAATTTTAAAAAATAAATTTGTGGCCAAAGAAGTTGTGGTTGTTCAGTCTTAATTCCATAAATCTTTTAAAGAAAAATTAATTTTTTAAACAAAAAATATTTATTTAAACCATAATAACAGTAGTTCCAATAGCTATACAAAGAATTGCTGATAATAATAAAGGGGCCCAAATACCAAATAATCTAATGCCAATGTAAAAATCTGTTAAAAATTATTATAATTTAGTTTAAAAAATTTTTTAATTTTAAATTTTTTAAAATTTAAAATAATTATATACATATTTAACTTTGACTAGTTATAAAAAATTTAATATTTTTACAAATATTTTTTAATAAAGATTTTTTGTTAAATTTTTTTCATCTCAAATATAATTTTTTGGGTACACCCAAACATAATGCAGAGCCATAACTTCGTTCAGAATCGTCGAATCCGGTACGCTCTGGTATGGTTCGATTCAGATCGTCGAGACGCATCGAACCATACCAAGCCGTTCCGGATTCGACGATTTTGAACGAATTTATAGCTCTGCGGTAAGTTGGGCCCGCGGTAAGCTGGCTTGCTCCCAATTTTTTATCTATTTATAATTAATTTATTCAGTTTATTAGGTCCAAATTTTGAATTTACAGGGTGCGCAAAACTTTTCTTTAAATATTAATGAACAATTTTTCATAGATTTTATAAAATTTAAGCTGATATTTGAAATAAATTTTTTGCTTAATAAAAGTACGGGAACTTTTTCCGCACCCTGTATTTTAGTATTATTGTCTATCTGTATTTTAAATTTCCCAATAAGAATTATTTTTAAAACAATTTAAATATTTTTAATATTTTTATCATTTTATTAATTTACTTAAAGATCCAAACAAAGTCCCAGTAATCATCAAAACTTCAAATATTCCAACAATTACAGCAGCATCGCGGTAATGAAGGAATTGACAAGTTGGTGGTGCCATATAAAATTCATCATCTGGATCATATTGATAAAAAGATGGGGGAGGTGTAGAAGGTGGTAAAGGTGATGAAGAAATTGGTGATTTATTTGGTTCGGCTAATTTTTAAATAAATAATTTTGAAGGAAATTTTGTATGAAACCAACTCTTATGAGTGTAGGAAAAGGGACTGACAGAGCAGATAAGTACATATCTATCTGCCTGTCAAAATAAGAATTTGGGTTCTTTAGGGTGTCACTATTAGAGTTCACCGAAACTTGCAGCTCACTTTCTTGTAATGTTTCGGTTCTGGGTCCTGTCTTGACCCTTCTAGTCGCTACAACAATTTTTTCGAGATTTCAACAGCGGACGAAAGATTAAATTTAACTTATTGTCTACTTACATTCATTGGAACTAGCTGAGGAGGATGTTGGTAATTGAGATTCATCCTGTTTTTCTTCAATTTTATTTTCATTTTCAACAATATTATTGGATAACATAATAATTATTAAATTCTAGATTTTATTTTGGCTTTAAAAAAATTCAGGGGATAATAAAAAAAATTATTATGAATATAAGGAGAGGCGTAAATCTTTAAATTAAAAATATAAAATCAAATTAAGTTACAAATAATAAAATTAAAAAAATATTTACAACTGACCAGCCACAACTTTGAAAAGCATTAAAGAATATATCGATCAAAGAAGTCAGCTTCTCACCGAAAAAGATGCTAAGGAATGGCGACGACTTTCAAAACCCTAAGGCTGCTGCGCAAGAAAGGAGATTTTTATTTATTTTTATGCAAGAATGACCCATAAATTTATTGGAAAACCGAGAGAAGAAGAAAGGGATATTTTTATTATTTCCTGTTTTTGTTAAATAAATATTTTGGATAGAAGAAAGTGGATTTGGAAGAGTTGGCTGATCACCAAATGATTTGAGAGATCAAAGGGATTAGAAAAATAAATAAATAAATATTGTTAGTAAATAATTAAATGAACAGTGAAAAGATTAAATAGAAACATTTAAAATTGTTTTGATAAATTTAGAAAAAAAGTTTTTGATCAAATCAAAGAGGGCAGAGATTTTAGAGTTGGGGAATCCTGGGAAATCCCATGATATCCGTCAGATATCTGAAACAAAGATTTCCAGATATCCGACCTCTTTTGGATATGGAGATTCGGATCTGCCAACTCGATTGTTTCCACTACAAAAGTATAGAAAAAATATAAAAAAAGTCCAAGACATATTTATATGAAAGCGATTTTCTCAGGGGCGGTATTCAGAGAACGAGGTTGCGGGTTAACCAACCCTCAGCTGCGGGTAGGTTAACCCAGAACCCTTATTCATAAATGAGGGTAAGGGTAACCCGCAGCTATGGTTCATTACTCGGGTAATAGAACCCGCAGCTGCGGGTAAAATTTGTACCCTGCTCCGATGAGGGTTAAAATCTTACCCGCAGCTATTTAAAAATTTTTTAAAAATCCAATTTCAATTGAAAAATTCCAAATTAAATATTTTTAGATAGATTAGAGTATGCTCTATTTTTTGACATAATTTTTAAAAATTTTCGTTATACAATAAATTTACTATAAATTTTCGCGTAAAGTACCCCATTTTTGAGCGAAAATGGGACTCATTCTCTCCAATAGGCATTTTTTTTATTTCTTGATTTTTTCAATCAAGCATCTTTTAAATTTTATAAGTTGTAGGAAAATTAGGCTAAAATTTTGATTTTTCCCTATTATATGTAAAACACTATCCTCTATCAGCTGGTATAAAAATGTTAGGGATTAAGTAGATTTTGTGGATTAAGCGGGATTAAGAGCGGATTTTTATCTTTTAGGCGGATTTTTATTTTTTAAATTTTAAACAAAAACATTAAACTAAACATTTGTGGATAAATCAAAATTACAAAATCGATTTTTAGTAATTTCTATCCGTTTTTTTACCCCAGCTTGTTTCCTTCTACTTTCGTTCATTGACTTTGATCCTAATGGTTCTTAGGAAAGTAAAGCTAAAATTTTTATTTTTGCCCATGATATGTAAAACACTCTCCTCTATCTATTGATATAAAAATCGGAAGGATTAAATAGATATCGGTGGATTAAGGGGAATTTGGTGGATTTGGAGAGATCTCGATGGATTTAGAGTGATTTATGGATCAAATTAAAATGATGGGTAATAAAGAAGGATTTTATGGATTAAGGGAATATCGAGAGGTTTTGAGGATTAAAGGAAAAAATTCAAAATTTAGCTACCTACATATTCTGAAAGATTTTAGATATAGAGGGATTAGGAGCAATTAAGAATGAATTTGGGGAATTAACAAAGATATCGAGGGATTTTAAGATTAACATAATTATATAAGAAGTTGTGAGGACATCTCCTTGATCACACATGATCCCTCTTAACTTAGGATGGAATTATTCCTTGATATTCCATCCAAACACCCGATATCCCACACCCTTCCTAATCCTATTAAAATATTTGGACTTGCAAGTGAAACTCAAATAATTTTTCGAGTCCGGCTGAATTTATCAAGATTCCGTAGTCTTTTCCGGATTTTTCAGAAAAATGTAGAACCAAAGGAAATCGTAGTATCAAGAGTTATTTGGAGAGATTAAATGGCTCGACGGGTATTATGAGATGACCTTTTCAAGTTCTTGAACTTTGATTGGTGGTTTTTCGGTTTTGTTTTCTTGGACAGCTCTATATCACTTTATCCTACAATTTTTTCCCTGTCTAGCCTACTGTCTGTATCCCAAAAAATCACGTCTTGGCCCGGTCCATGAAAAAGTTTAAGCTCTCTTTAAGCTTCTCTTTAATAATCGATCTCTCTATTTATCTATAAAATCAACCTTAACTGTTACTCCCAATGATCCCTTGATATAAACCCTCGATAACCTTGTTTATCTCCTAAATAATTTCTTATGGCCAATTTAAATACTTGTCAGTTAAGAATTGAATTTAGAATTTAAAAATAGAATTTAAAATAGAATTTAGATTAAAAAATTTAATTTAATTTTAGAATTTAAAAAATCGAGAAATCAAGGCATTATTATTGCTCCATTATTATCCATTATAATAATGGAGCAATGTTAAAAATCATCATTGATTTTTACTTGACTTTAGGTTAAAAATCCGGTCAAAGCCTTAACAAAAATCAAGTCTCGGTGTCAGAGATTTTTCAACATAATTTTATCTTGATGTTAAAATCTTTTTAAAATTAAAATTTCATTTTGGAATATCATTATTTATTTTCAATTTAATTTTAAACCTATAAAACGAGAGATTAAAATTATAAAATTTATTCGATCAAAAGAGATAAAATTGAACTTTCAAAATCTTTTTAAATTTTGAAAATCGGCTCAGAATTGACCGAAAAATAATATTCCAAACTTTTAAAAAGTTTTTTTTTGATTTAAATGGTCAAATTTTGGGTGATATTCATAGAAGAGGGTTGTGGGTTAGTTTACCCGCAGCTGCGGGTAAGCATCGAGTTCTGGGTTGATTTTCTTTGAATAAGGGTTAACCCTCAGCTTGGTGTTCTATTACCCGGGTAAGAGAACCTGGTAAATTTACCAGGTACCCTTACCTCGTTCTCTGAATACCGCCCCAGATGTCAAAAATTCTTGATTGTATAGTTAAAAGTTGATAAAGTAATGTAAGAAAATTATTTTTTTCTTTACTTAAATCATGATTCTATTCATCAGGGATGAATTTTATTCCTCTTCCGCCGTTCATCCTGAGCTTTTTTTATTATCTTCCGCTTCCGCCTTCCGATTTTAAAATTCAAAATCATCCATCCCTGCTACACATCCCTTATTGTGTTTTGCTTCTTTTTTATTTTGTTTTTTAAACTTTATTTGCGCAGACGCGGCAGTAGTTTGTTCAAAATATAGAAAAACTTGAATTTCGAAACTAATGTCTACATAAAAATTTTAATTGCTGCCATAAAAGATTTAAATTTTCAATTTTACTTCTAAAAATAATAAGAAAAATAAAAATAAAAATTTAGGGTGAGGGGCTTTTAATCTTAGAAGTTTTGGTCAGTCGAAGTTTTGACCGGACGAAGTTTTTGTAAAACGAAATTTTGTCCGACTGAGTTTTGTCGGTAGAAGTCGTGTCCGTTCGAAGAACTGCCCTGACACGAAAAATTTAAACAAATTACCTGCCTATTTTTATTTTTTTCCAAAATTTATCTATATATAACAGTAAAAGGGCACTCAGCTAAAAAAAAGTCCTCCGGAAGTTTGAGAAAACGTAGAGGGGTGGGGTTTTTTGCTATAGATGGGAAATTTAATGTAGTTTTCAGGAAAACCTCCAAAAGTTGGGGGAAAGGGGCGAGTTTTTTAGATATTTTGAAAAAACATGAATTTTCGAAACTTTGAAGTGAAATTTGAATATGAAGATGAAGTCGGGGAAAGTTGGGTCAGTTACAAGGTTGAAGCACCACAACATGGAGAATATGATAGAAAAAGAGTTGAAGTCGTTCTGACATCGGGGAGGGTAGATGTGCCTGTTGACAACTTTTTTGTCAAAGTGGTAACTTTGGATTTAAGGTGTTTAGAAGGGTCTGAGCAAAAAGTGGTTGGGAGAAAAGTTGTAGAGCATGGTGGGTTTCTTAAGAAAAAAGTTGGTTTCAAGTTGAATGGATTAACAGAAAAAAGATATGGAGTAAAAAGTGCATTTTTGAGTATATTTCATAAAAGTGACCTTAACTATATTTTGTTTTGAAGTTAGAAGAAAAGTGTCGGGAGATGAAAGATAGAGAATTAAATTCTGCATCGAATAAGCTTTGTTTTATGTTCAAATGAGTTTTTTGGACCGAGTTATGAATTTTTTAAGAAATTAAAATTTTTGGAAAAAATTTTTAAATTTGACGATCTAGACCGTCCGATCTGGAAAGTTAAGCAACGGTGAGACGTATTTTGTAACTTTTGAAGTAATTGTCAGAAAAATATGATTAAGGTCTCATTCGACGTGGAAAAATCAGACGAATTTTTTAAAAATATTTTTGAAGGGGTCATTTGAGTCTGAGGATGGGATATTTGAGTCTGAAGATTAAAATCAGTGGAAATGAATTTTAAAAATTATAAAAATTAATGGGAATATTAGAAAATAAGTTTTTAATATAAAGGACACTAGAGTCTCATTTATAACTTTCAGTCTGGGCTGAAAATTTTAATAAAATTAATTAATTTTACAAATTTTTGAAATAAAATTAAAATGTTATAACGCGTTACTGAGAACGCGTTGCCGGAGGCAACCGCCAGAATTAAAAATATTTTTTAAAAATTCGGAACGCGTTGCAGATAACGCGTTGCCGGAGGCAACCGCCAGAATTAAAAATATTTTTTAAAAATTCGGAATGCGTTGAAGATAACGCGTTGCCGGAGGCAACCGCCGGAATTAAAAATATTTTTTAAAAATTCGGAACGCGTTGCAGATAACGCGTTGCCGGAGGCAACCGCCAGAATTAAAAATATTTTTTAAAAATTCGGAACGCGTTGCAGATAACGCGTTGCCGGAGGCAACCGCCAGAATTAAAAATATTTTTTTAAAATTCGGAACGCGTTGCAGATAACGCGTTGCCGGAGGCAACCGCCGGAATTAAAAATATTTTTTAAAAATTCGGAATGCGTTGAAGATAACGCGTTGCCGGAGGCAACCGCCAGAATTAAAAATATTTTTTAAAAATTCGGAACGCGTTGCAGATAACGCGTTGCCGGAGGCAACCGCCAGAATTAAAAATATTTTTTAAAAATTCGGAACGCGTTGCAGATAACGCGTTGCCGGAGGCAACCGCCAGAATTAAAAATATTTTTTAAAAATTCGGAACGCGTTGAAGATAACGCGTTGCCGGAGGCAACCGCCAGAATTAAAAATATTTTTTAAAAATTCGGAACGCGTTGAAGATAACGCGTTGCCGGAGGCAACCGCCAGAATTAAAAATATTTTTTAAAAATTCGGAACGCGTTGCAGATAACGCGTTGCCGGAGGCAACCGCCAGAATTAAAAATATTTTTTAAAAATTCGGAACGCGTTGAAGATAACGCGTTGCCGGAGGCAACCGCCAGAATTAAAAATATTTTTTAAAAATTCGGAACGCGTTGAAGATAACGCGTTGCCGGAGGCAACCGCCAGAATTAAAAATATTTTTTAAAAATTCGGAACGCGTTGCAGATAACGCGTTGCCGGAGGCAACCGCCAGAATTAAAAATATTTTTTAAAAATTCGGAACGCGTTGCAGATAACGCGTTGCCGGAGGCAACCGCCAGAATTAAAAATATTTTTTAAAAATTCGGAACGCGTTGCAGATAACGCGTTGCCGGAGGCAACCGCCGGAAATAAAAATATTTTTTTAAAAATTCGGAACGCGTTGAAGATAACGCGTTGCCGGAGGCAACCGCCAGAATTAAAAATATTTTTTAAAAATTCGGAACGCGTTGCAGATAACGCGTTGCCGGAGGCAACCGCCGGAAATAAAAATATTTTTTTAAAAATTCGGAACGCGTTGCAGATAACGCGTTGCCGGAGGCACCGTCAGAAATTAAAATTTTTTTTTAATTTCGAACGCATTACAGAAAACATGCGGGACGAAGGCCCGCATGTTTTTTATGACTTAAATTCAAAAGTTTATAACTTTTGAAGTATTAGTCGTACAAAAATGCTTGAGGTGTCATTCGATTGAAAATTGAATAAGAAATTGAATGAAGATATTATTATAAGTGCCACTTGAGTCTGAGGTTGGACATTTGAGTCTGAATTTTTTAAATACTGGGAAATTAACGGAAATTGCTTTATTTAAATTGTAATAACGCTGGAGTCAGCCTTTATACCCATAAGCTATTAAAACTACTAAGCAATTCGCGCCGAACGCTGGTTTAATTTGTAAGATGAAACACTCCTATTACACTTTTCTTTCCCATAATAAAATTTTATTTTTTTTATTTCTTTATTTCAATCAATCATTGCGAATTTGCAGCTCTACAACAGACAACACGTCCATGTCGCGACAGTCCTGTCAGCCAGACAAAAATAAATAAATACACAAATGTATTTAACAAATAAAAATTTTTTTTTCAATTTTTACCTTTCCTGTCTTCACTACTAGACTAATATTTTGTTTGTTTATTTTTAAATGTTTGCCTCAAAAAGAAATTATATTCCTCTCTAAATTTTGATTTTTATTCTATTTAAAAGTTTAGAAAATTTTGAAAATTATAAGAATGAGTAACAGAGCATTACTTATGCTTTCTAGTTTTATTGAAGCAAACGGCCTAGGAAGGCCTGATTTATGGGGAAAAGCAATTCTTTCGCTTCAGGTAAATTATTAAAAAATTTTTAGTAGGTTAAAATCTGACCTAAAATTTAATTAAAATTTAATACAAAAATATTTATGTGTGTATATTGAATGGAAACTTTGAGTTATTATGAATTTCTTCAATTATACATATAAAAAATAGCCATCAACTTTAAAAGAAAATAAAATAAACGTGGAACATTAAAAATTTTTTTCTGGTTGTTAAAGAAAGGAGAAATGAAATCATTTTTTCGATCATTCAGCTATATGTAGCTGTCAGCCTGCTAGTCTCTATTTTTTAATTAGAAATTGGAAAATTGGGGAAACAAATTGGAAATCATTTTTATCATTTAAAAATATTTTTGGTTAAAGACAGCCCATATTTTTTGAAACGAGATGGACATTCTATGATTTTCGGTCATTACCGAGGACTTAACTAACACAGAAATAAATTCCCGATTTTTGGGAATCGGGTTTCCCGACCTAAAAATGTTACGGATACCCAATTTCTCGAATCAGGTCGGCTAGCTCTTTGGTCAATACCAGTGATGGACCCTGCCACATTTAAAAGACGGTAAATGGAAGGCGAAAGCGGAAAGATCAACAAATGCGGTTTTTGCGGCGGCGGAAGGCGGAAGACTTTCGAGTTATTATGATCCCTGGTCAATAACTAAATATTTTAAAATTTAATTTTTAAACAAATTCCTTTCATAAAATATTAACTATAATTTTCTATTCAGGCCATTCATTTATTAATAAATACCTATTTGGAAACAAAATTTCTTTGGCCAATAATTTCTTCAATTTTCTCATCACAACCCTATTCCTCCTCTAATAATAATAATTTATTATTTCCCCAATTTCCAACTTTTCTATCAATTTCCCTTTCAATTTATTTTATTCTTTTACAAATTATTGCAATGATTTTATTATTAATTCAATTATTTAAATCAACTGTTTTACTTCCACTTATTATTATTCATTTATTATTAATTTGTTCTATAATGTTTCAACTTTTACAACTTTTAACTGAAGGACATCCAACAACTGAATTATTTGTTTGGTTTTGGTTGGTTATTCCATTTTTTGTTAAATCTGTCTTTGATTAATAATGATTTGAATTCGCATGCAATCAGATTTTTGATTCCCAAAATTTCCAAGATTTTTTGACGGAATCAAAAACTAACCTTTAAAAGTTCATCCCTAAAATGTTTCTAAAATCGTGACAAATTGAATATGGCAGTCATAATCATTGACTGCCATATACGAAAAAAAATTGAATTTTGAAGCTAGAATTGGCCACTGACTCGTCGGGAAGAGCTTTTTTTAGGGTACGTGGATGCCGGGGAATGGAATGCCGGGGATCAGAAACAAAAGATTTATAAGAGAGGCAATTTCAAAAACGCAAACACAACACACACTGACCAACTAAGCTTGGAAAAAACTTCGCTGGCTTTTAATAATTAATGTTGAAAATTGAACTATCCTAAAGGTTTAAAACCGTTCTCATTACTTGATTAAATAGTGTAAGGCCAGTGAAGTTTCTTCCCAGCCTAGTAGATAAAATAAAAATGTTAACGATCGGTCAGTGTTGGATGCTTGAACGGTTGATAACCTTGAACCCTTCTTTCAAATCCCATCCTATTTTTTTATTATTTTTCGAGATAAGTAAGTTCGGCCACTTTTTACTATATTTATTTAGTGTAATTCTGAAAAATATAATTCCAAATCTTTATCATTTAATATATTAATTTTCTTTAAAGGTATTTAAGTGCTTGTATTACTTTTACACTTTATCAAGCAATGTAATTAAATAATTAAATTTATTTTAAATTGATTAATTTTTAAAGGCTTTTTTCAACTACAAGATCCCCTAAATTATCCGATTCAATAGCCCCAGCTCCAAACAGAGCCAGAATTGTTTGGATACAACAAACAAATATAAACATTCCTTTACAACAAAATCAGAGACTTTTAACTTTAGAAAGACGTCCATCTTCTTCTAATCTCCAATTAGAAAATTTAATAAATATAAACGAAATAAATAATTAGTAAATTTTGAAAATTTAAAATTTAATAATTGTTTGTAATAAAAATATTTCTTTACTTTTATGGACAAATAAATTTGGGCTTTCATTGTAGCTGAAAGAACCACAGAATTTTACTTCCTATAACGGTACATAAACGGGAAATTGAAACTAGGTTTGGCCCCTGACTCGTAGGGAAGAGCTTTTTCGGGGTACGTGGATGTCGGGGAATGGACTGTGGGGGATCGGGTCGAGGAATTTGGATAATCCTATTAAATAGTCTTTCCGATACTTTAATAAATTATGATAAGACTTGAAATTTTGATGACTTATCAAACAAACAAAATGTTTTATAAATAAAATAAATACCCAAATTTTTATACAAATCAAAATCTTTAAATATTTGTTAAAAATTAAAATTTTGAAGTTTTGAATTTTGTTAATGAACGAATTCTCTTTTTTAAATAACGTAAAATAATAAATTCTTAAAAATAAAATAATGTTGCTAAAACGCAACCCTTTTAAAAAATAAATTTTTAAATAAATTCTTTAAAAAAATTTAAATTTCTTCAAAATTTCCTTTACTCGTCTTCATCAATTAATTTAGAAATTATTTCAAGGAAATGTTGTTTAATCGGATATTTATCTTCGCCCTTATAATCTTTGTGAATATTCTCTCTAAGTTCATTTACAGCCTTTTGATAAACATTACTAAAAATAAATAAATATTTTTTTGATTTTTAAATAATTAATTTCTTCTTCAATTTTATTAAACTGGGAAAAAACAAGCAGCTAAAATAATAGGAAGATAAAACATGATTTTTACAGCAATTAAACTTCTTTATAAATAAAAAAGCTTAAATTTAGACATTTACTGATATCTAATAAAATGACCCTTCCGAGGATAGCAGTTGAAATTTTGTAAATGTTTTAATTAAATGTTTTTTTAATTTTCCGAATAAATGTCCCAAAAATATTTCATACCTTAAACCAGAGACCAGACTTGGAATGTGTACGAGAAGCGGGATCTCGAAAAATTCCCGATCTCGATCTCGTATCGGTCCGGCATCTAATATAAACCCTCTTAAATATTTAGAAATTTATATATTTTTTCTAGAATTTACTTACTTTTCCTCCATCATTTCAAGGAAAGCATTTTTAAAATCAACAATAAATCCTTTACGTTTAATTTTATCCCATTTCACAAATTTGATAAGCGCTACATATTTACCAATACCCAAATGTTCAACAAGAGAGGAATTGTAGAATTGATCAACTCCATAAGGAATACAAATTAAAAGAACACCTGCATACATTGCCTTTAAATAAATATTTTTAAAATTTGAAAAATATTTAAATACCTCAGTTAAACTGTTCATTCCACAATGAGAAATGAATAATTTTGTATTTGTTTTCGCTGAAAATAAAAATATCTAATATACTTGAATTGCCACTGGGAACCGCTAAAAGTCGAGATACACAACTATACACCCACTTTTTTTTCGTTTTTACCCCTAGAATGTCAAAAAAATTTATAGATATAAAGTAAGATAGTCCCGTACTATACAGCGATTTGTATTTTCCGCTGGAGCCCAAATAATTCAGCTGGTGGTGCTCTATGATATCAATAGAAATTACAAAAGAAATTAAGATCTAATATATCTGTTTCATCAGATTGTAAGGATGATTCACCTAGCAGCATTTAAAACGCTTAGGCGGGTGTTAAACAATCTAAAAAGGGAAAAGATTGATGCTTCGGTAGCTCAGTGGTAAAGCTCCTCATATAGTGAGCGAAAGCGCCTAGCAACAACAAGCAGGCGGTCGCAGGTTCGAATCCTGACCGGTGGTTAAACTCTTGCAAACTCTTTCTAGATCTTAAAGCCCGAAAATAAACTTAAAACTGAAATAAATGTTCCAAAAAATATTTTCGACAACTTATATGTATTCTAAATGTTTATTTTCTTACCTAATTTTTCTAAAATTTTTTAAAAAATTTTAAGTTAGAAAAATTAAAAAATTTCATTAGGCTCAGGATTTTTAATTATTTTATACTTAAATAATTACATAATAATTCTTGTTGTTTAATATTTTCTTCACTGACGTGAATAATTTCTTTGTTATAATTTTCTGGTAAATACTCATTAATGAATTTAACTTTATATATACAATGACTATATTTTTCAAATAATTCAAACATCTTTTGGATATTAACTTTTCCCATATAAAATAAAATTTCTTCTGTAAATACAGTTCCAAACGAGACAAGAATAACGCATTCAGGCTAAGAATGTTCTAATATGTACATCAGGGATCTAGCCGACATAAAAATCCAATTCCCGATTTTCGGGAATTGGGACGGCTAGATCCCTGATGCACATATAAATAATTAAATACATATCTGTCGATTTAGAAGTTTTTTAAAAAAATATAAAGTCGATTCTAAGGTGATGAAAGGGAATTTTAGGGATTAAACGGTATTTCAAAGAATATCAATAAATTATTTATAATCTGATTAGGAGAAAAATCGTGATAAAGAAAGAAAAAATCAGAAGTGATTAAGGCGTATATTTCTTTTTAAAGGCCTTATTAAAATACAAAGATTTTGGCCTGGAACCAAAAAGTTCTGGTTTATTAACTGTCTAAAATTTTTGCCTAAAAGGTAAAAAGCAACAGTTCAGTAAACCGAATTTCGGTTCGATCGAAACGGACAGATCTCAATTCTTTGATAGCGTGCTTCTATTTATTTTTTATTTATTTAACGCTTACTTCATTTTCCTTCGATTTTTCTTGATTTAAAATCCCCTTATCCTCAACAACAATACCTCCAATATAAACAATTTTATTTGTTTCCGGATAATTTTTGAAATTTCCAAGTTTGTGCTGATTAATAAAATGATATTTAATTTTTTTAAATAAATGCTCAAATGAAGGAATTGGTCCCTGAATTCCCTCATATTCAAATATTTTTGGAATTTCCTTTTTCCAGAATATATTAAATATTCTAATATCATTTTTAATAATTTTCAAATTTCTTTTGTATTTTTTAGATCCTTCTTTGCTTATGCCATTTTCGGAGTTCCAATCTCCTGGTTTAGTTAACAGGAATACTTTAATAAATTTTATTATTAATTATTAAATTCAATAATTTCTAGTGATCATGCTTCTCCCGCTTCCGCCTTCAGTTTTTTGACTCATCTATGCTAAAGTGCACATTACGGGCGATTTTTTTTCGCTGAACATTGACTTTTGGTGATTTTTTTATTCCTTGTGACTAGTATATGTAAGATACTCTATATGTAAGATACTCTATACCTTCTTTCATATGTGAAGAAGGTATAGAGAGTGTAATTTAGAAATAGCTTATTTCTTTCTATTTTTTCTTAATACTTAAACAATCTTACAAAGGAGAGCTTTTTGGGTGTCCGTGGGACTTCGGGATGAAATTTGGTAGACAGGTAGCTTAAAACTCGGTCCACGGTACCATTCAGCGAAAACGGTTCAAATTTTACAATAGAAGGGTATGATCTACCTGTCTACCAAATTTCATCCCGGTGACATCATTCTGATAATTACCTAGTGTAGCCCCCTACTGCTTGAGGCGTGTTGCCCCCTACTGATGATCGAAAAATTAACACCAACAAGTTGTTGCTCTCAAGGTACTAAAAATATATCGCCCCAACTCTCAAGAGTTGGGGCGCAACACAAGTGCAAATAAAAATCTTTTATTGGCACAAAATTTTTCCGCTTTTTAATATCGGTTTGTAAAATCCCTGGAAAGCAATCTTAATAAACATTAAAACTAACAAGGAATATTATGTTTAGTAACATCAATTCCAATAAATTGAAAGTATTCTGGAAGGAATACACTGGCACCAACATTAAAAGTTTTTTCAATTCCTAAAAGTTCGAAAACAGCAAAAGAGCCAGCCATTTGATCAAATTCAGCAATACCAAAAGAATAATTTTGTTGTCGAAGATAATCAAAAATTGGTTTATTGCCAACATTAGGAATGTTAATTTCAACATTTTTCTTTATTTCTATGAGAATAAAATAAGTATTTACTCGATTAATTCCCCCGAGGAATTATTTTTTCAACCCATGCGTGGCATGGGGAATTATTAGGGGGTGAGGAATTATTCGAGTTTTGAAATTTGAACGTGTACTAGGGTATTCTCGGTGGGGAATTATTTTTTCAATTCACAACTGGCATGGGGAATTAATAGGGGGTGTGGAATTATTTGAGGTGGGGAATTAATCGAGTAAATACGGTAATATTAAAGAATTTTGTTTTAATGGGGAGGGGGGGGGGATTTTACTTATGTTTCTTATTAAAAATATATATTCATATATCAATAACCCTCATATATTTTGAAATAATGAATATTTATAAATTCTTCGGCATTATTAGAAATGTTCGGCATGATTGGCACCTCAATAATTTTCTGTGATGATGCAGATTTTATTGGAATAGCATTTTTGTATTTGTAAACTATAATATCCTAAAATGAAGCTTAAAGTATGTATAAACTGTAAGTTTATAAAAATAAATTTTATATTATATTACCACATCATATTTTTCTGATAAAGCCTCGGCCAAAGTTATCTGAAATTTTGAAATTAATATAAATTTTTATTTGGATATTAGTCTTATTAAATACAATCTGTGGATCTCTCTTGTATATATGTACGTCTGTTAGGTATTCCTCTAGGGGTAAACCTTTTAAAATATTCCGTTTAATAAAAGAAATAATAGGTATTTATCGCATCTTATAATGGAAAAATTCTTAAGATATGACGGCACATTTATGTTTTATTTCAAAATTTAACTAATTTAAATGTTTAGTATTAAGAATTAATTTACATGTAATTGCACATGAGAAAATAAATAATTAACGCAAATGTACAAAACTTTCTTTTTTCCATTAAGTTTTTCAATCTCAGAATCTTTATAAGTTCTAAAATCCCCTCTCATTGAACTTTCTCCTTCATACGCTCCTCCTCCATAACTTGTCCCTTCCTGGCCATAATTAATATAACTTGCTTCTTCTCCTTTCCCTTCTCCAGAATATTCACTTACTCTATGTTGACCTCCAGAAGCTTCTCTTCCCGTGTTTGTTTCATAACCCTCATTTTCAGAATAATTAATTGGGCTTTCTCCACCACCCAAACAGCTACAATTTGAACTTCTCTTAAATCGAGAATGGCGCAATTTTTTCTTTCCATTTTTTGGACAATTACATTTATTCCCAATGGAAATGTTTATCAAAATTAGCAAGAAGAAAATTTTAAAAATTAATTTTAAATACATTTTCTCTAAAATAATTTTTTAAATTAAAATAATAAATTTTAATAAATAAATTGTATAAAAATTTTTAATTAAAATAAATTTCTCTACAAGAGTTATGGCATTTTAAATAAAGTTAAATTTCCTTCTCTATCCACTACCCACTTTACACCAGAGTTGCTTCGTAATTGAAAATTTTTTTTCGTAATCATACATAATTCGTAATTTAGAAAAAAATTCGTAATCGTAATTCGTAACTCAAAAAATGCCGTAATTCGTAATTACGGCGCAACCCTGCTTTACACGTACGTATGATGAATTTTTGTCTTCGGCAACAAGAATTCAAGTGGTGTAATTTTTAATTTAATTATTCGGATTTTTATAATAAAAAATTGCCTAATTCAATTGTTGGATTTAAAAAATATAACATATAAAGTGATTTTAATTTAATTTTTGTGTTTATAATTTTTTGCGGATTTTTGATATAGAATGCGGATTTTTTAGATCGATATTGCGGATTTTAAAAAATTCGAGATCGTAACCCTGTTTTACACGTAGATAAACCCTTTAGATAAAAGTGCTAGTATTTTCTTTAAATGAAATAGCGCGAGCGAAACAGAGGTGAGCCTCATCTCTTTTTCTCTAATTTTCTCTTATTTTTCCATACTCTTTTTATTTAATTTATAAAAATTAAATAATTTATAAAAATTAATTTATAAAAATTTATAAATATTTACATAATTTATAAAATAATTTATAACACCCACGCTTGATTTTCACCCTTCATTCGACTATGACATCGAGCCTCCTCCATGGGCTTCACCTCCATAACTAGTCCCGTGCTGACTATAATAACCTGTTCCACTAAAACCTGAACCTTCTGCCTGATCTACTATGGAATATTCACCTCCAGCATAGCTGGTTGGTTGGTGAACTTCAGAAACTTCCTCTTCTGCGTTTGATTCATAGCCTTCTGTTTCAGAATAAATAGTTTGGCGTTCTCCAAGTTCCAAACAGCTACAATTTGAACTTCTCTTAAATCGAGAACGGAACAATTTTTTCTTTCCATTTTTTGGACAATTACATTTTATCTCAATGGAAATGTTCATCAAAATTAACAAGAAGAAAATGTAAAAAATTAATTTTAAATACATTTTCTCTAAAATTATTTTTTAGAATTAAAATATTAAATTTAATAATTAAATAAATGTATGAAAAATAAATTTAAATTATTTAAAATGAATCTCTCCATATAAGCATTTAAATAAAAGCAATTCCCTTCACTACCCGGCTTTTTACACTTATATTTTGAACTAGCTTATGAAATGCGTCCAACCAATGCATGTGTCCGGATTGGATTTATGACTTATGAATGTATACGTGCCTCAGGAATAATTTTTCAAAATAATTTTTTTGAAAATGTTTTATTAAATTAACAAAGCAAATTGAATAAATTAACAAACATAAAATTTGGGGGCTTAATTTAGTTTTTTTCTAGGCTCGAAACTATCAATATTAAGATAAAATATTTTTATTAAAATATTATTTTTATATATTCCGCAAGCTTTCAACTCTTGCGGCATTTCATTTTACAACTCTAAATTTAATTGTTAAAAGAGAGAGAGAGAGTGAGATTAAAAAAAGATCCACGAGGAGGGAACGTATTAATCTTTAGTTCAATTACAAACTACAATTTTAAAATTTTTTAAAATCATATATATTATTGATTGGTTTAATTTAAAGAATATTTAAAATTAAAAAAAAATTTTTTTTTATAATTTTTGAATTTAAGAAAGCAACTTACTTGTTTTTATAATTTTTCTGCAGCAAAATCTTTAATAACTCAATTCAATTAAAAAATTAAAGTAAGGAGTGTCTTATACTTTCAAAAATTCTAGACATATTCTCAGATTCAGAATCGAACCCAACCTTAAATAAAAAATCCCTGAACGGGGTCTAAAACCTTAACCACTCTATCACTCGTTCCTTTATTGAAAACTGATAGGTTTTTCCCTTTTCAACGCCGCAGCTGAACATTTTGAAAATTTTGAAAATTTCATTTCTCTGTGTCGCGGCCGAAAAAATTATTGACGGATAAACGCAATATCCGAGTATCATATTTGTATCCATCCGTATCAGTCCGATTTAAAGAAAATTTCACTATTATATATTAATTAAAAATGATTTTTAATAATAAAAAAATAAATTTAATATAAAATTTAATAAAAAATAAAATCAATTTTTTAAATTATAAAAATAATGGGCTCAGCCGGTGATCGAAACCGGGGCCTCTCGCACCCAAAGCGAGAATCATACCACTAGACCACTGAGCCGACAATCATTTTGTTTTATACAAACCTTTAATTTGTTTTTGTTTTTAATCTGTTTTTTGTAAGAAATAATAAATAATTATTCTAGTCTCCCTATGTATTAAATTAAAAATTCTCTTTTTAAAATATTTATTTAGAAATAAAGTCGGAATAATTCAATTAGATGTACATTTTTTGATTTGATTATCCATAAGTGGCGGAGCCACCTAAGCAATACAACCAGTATTCAATAAACCTAATCTTTCATATAATTTATCCAACCTTAAGTGTGAACCAGTGATGTCAAACTTCCAGTTCCAGTTCCGGAACTAATTAGTTCTAGTTCCAGTTCCGGAACTAGAACTACGGAACTAGTAAATGCTGGAACTAGCTTGGAACTGGAACTACGGAACTAGTTCCAGAGAAATTTTGGAACTTTGACATCACTGGTGTGAACACATAAGTGATTGTATTTTAATAACTATAATTAGAACGGCCAGTATATTTAGAAATATTCAGGCATCTAATCTTAAACAAATTCTGAATCCTTTTAAAATTTAATTTTTTTAATTTAAATTTTTATTTTTTAATTAAGAAGATTACTAAATGTTATTTTTATTTGTATTTATTCTTAATTAAAGTTGGAAAAAATATTTAAAATTAATTTAAAATCAGAACGATTTAAAGAGAAAATTTGTTTAATTAAAAACATTTTTTTCTATTTTTTCCTTGTAAAAGCCGCGTCAACCTCAAGTATGTGTGTTTGTTTGTATATATTATTTTGCTTAAAAAATATTTATTTATATCCTCTTTCCATACAGTTTTTATTAGTGCGCGAGACTTGTTTTTAGTTGAGTAAATGATTTTTTATTTGTTTCATTTTTACCTTTTACCTCTTAAATATATAAAAATATTTATTTTTTTAATATTTATTTTAGGCTTTCTTTTTCCTCCAAAATAATTTTGTGACACTTTAGGAGAATTAAACTTTGGAAAATAAAATTTTTAAAATTAAGAGAAAATTTTTGAGATGGAATTTCTCGTTGATAATATCCAAATTGAGATTGTGATTTAAGAAATTATTCAATTATTATTAGATTATTCACATCAGACCACCCTTAAAGTGAATATTTAAAATTTTATTTTTATGATTATTAAATAAAAAGTAATGATTATATTAATAATTACTGCCATTGTTTGGCAAATAAATGCACAACAACCACCATTCATTCCCCCTCAGAATATCAATGGAACATTTGGGCTTCAATTAAATTCTGTATGTTTGTTTAAAAATATACTTAAATTATATGTCTCCTAAAACTGAACGGCATCAAATAAAAGAGAGATAGATTCTACTGATGGTCGGACTCTCGGTCTCGGTCTCGGGGTGGATTTTCGGTCTCGACTCTTGGCTTTCTTTAACTCCCGACCATCACTAATAGATTCTATTGTACTGTTAGGTTCTGATTAAAATTATTCTTTTAATTAAAGTATCCATCTCCTCAACATTTATTTCAATATCAAAGACAGCAACAACCTTCAGATTACCGTCAACAACAGCAATATGCTGCTGATGGTCATTATTTACAACAACCTCAATATAATAGTCATTACCAAAATTCTTTTCAACCACCGAATAAATGGCAAAGTTGGTTTTTACGAGATATTTGAGTAGTTCAAAAAAAGTTTCAAAATTATCGATGCCTAATACGTTCATCATAATGACTTTTTTACTTGAAGCTAGGCCTGCGTTGTAAATTTTCCAAAAATTTTCCCTTAACTACTCCCCAAAGTCAAGAAGAGTTGATAGGTCCGTTGGACCTATCCGTTTTCTTATTTTCCTTCTCTCCCGATCAATTTGCGAATCTTAATATGTACATTGGATAAATTTTGAACATAAGTAAAAATCTAAGAAAAATTATAATTTTTCTTAAAAATCAGCATCCATCAAACAAAAGTCCTTTTAAAAATATCCACATCCAAATACCCTAAAAATTATTCTTAAGATGAACAAAAGCTAGAAGATGATGATTCTAAAGAAGAAAATAATTTTCTTTTAAAACAAAATAGTAATAACCGTCAATATCCTCAAAGAGTTCATTTTGATCCAAATAATAATTTGCCCTATCTTCATGATCGGCAACAACAAAAATACAATCAAAAATTTTATGGAGGATATAATAATCATTTAAACGGGCAAAATAAGTTTAGAAAATATTTTTTTAAATTTAATTTTAGAATTTAATTTAGTCCTTCATCTTTTGATTTCGAGAACGAGGCGGATTCTTATAATTCCCCTTATAATTATGGAAATATGCAAAGGCCAGTAAATCCAAATATGCAAACAGTATGTTTTAACTACAATTTGTTGAATTTTTGAAACCGAAAATCTGAGGCAGTAAAGTCCCGTGATTGACTGTTTTTAGGAGTTTCGGTTACCCTAGTTCGTTTGGGATTAGAAAACTCCCAAATTTATTAGTTAATAAAAATAAATTTGTTTGAATTTTTGGCTCATTAAATACATATTCAACTTTAATAGGCAATAAAAATATTTTTAGCTATAAGTGATAATAATTCATTCATATAAGAGGTTATACTCAGGGGTGGGTCGGAACAGTCACAGGTGTCGGAAATCGGAAGAGGCGGAAATCGGAACTGGCTCAAAAGTCGGAATTCGGAAATCAAAATTTTTTCCGGAAATCGGAAGGAAAAAACGTCTGAAATCGGAATTCCGACCCACCTCTGGTTATAATTCATTACCCAGACAAAATAAATAAAAATATTTTATACAAATCTTAATTCTCGATTTCAATTTTAGCATCAATATACCGGCCAGCAACATTCGTATCCGGCTGGTCCATTAAATCCACATTATCGCACAGGAATTGTTTACCCAGAAGGGCAAAGGAATTTAAACAATCATAATAAGCCTTTTTGGTTTAATGATGCAAGAAAGGATAAAAAAATAAATAATTTTTGGAGTTTAGTAGTTTTTGGAATTTTAATTTTGTTTAGTTAAATATATTCTATGTAGTGTAGCTCTCCATTTTCAAATAAAGTTTTATTTAATTTTTTAATCTCCAAAAACGATTACCGTATTTCCTCAAATACTAATTGAACGGGGCCGTACTATTTGAAGGAATACGGTAAATAATATTACAAGTAGTTGTGAAATAAGGGTTTTTGGGGTGGTTTCCGACCACTCGGGGAGAACTTTTGGCGAACAAGGATGCTTGGAAATGGACTGTTGAGGATCGGGGCTTTTCGTGTTTTTACGTGTTCTGGGATGACCCTATTTTTAATTATAGAGTAACAATCAAGTCATTATAAGAATGTTTGTTTGAACATTTCTTATTATAAAATTCTTCTAAACAAAAAATTTTTAGGGAATTCAAATTTATCAAAATTTTATTTTCTACATGCCCTCATTTTTGAAAATTAAAAGTTTTTCAATTAAAAATTTTAAAATTTAATTTATTTAATAATACATACATATTTAAAAAATTTAAATAAATTTTTCCAATCAATAATTTCTTAATAAAATTATTTAGAGAGGGCATGCTTTAAGGGCATGCTTTTACCTACACGTTAATAATAAATTGTTGGCAAATTTTTCTTTTTTCTTTGCCTTCTCTCTCTCTTTCAAAATTATGTAGAAGGCTATAAAATTAGTTTTTATAGATTAACTCCGTTGGATTAATTTTTAGAAAAAAAGTTTCAACACAAAAATTGTAGATCATTATGTGCTCTATAAAATGAGTATAAATATCGATATCATATATCAGTAAAGTTTTTATTAAAAATTTTTAAACAATACTACCCCATTTTTGGGCGGTATAAATGAAAGAAGCAAACTAATTAAAATTAAAAATCGGGATTTTTATTAGGCCAAAAAATTTCCAAAAAATTACTGACGTCATTTTCTAATGATAGTGAGTAGAAAAGAAAAAAGAACGGAGACTATAAACGATTTCATTGCCGAGATTTAAAATCTCAAAAATCAACGGGAAATGGAGGTGCAGTACTTCAAAAAATATTTTAGCCCTCTGAAACTTATATAAAAATTTTCTTTTAGGCTCATCTGAAAGCCCATAAAATTTGCTACAAAATAGTTCGGGTCTCAGTTTTTCAAAAAATTATTCTGTTTGACGGGCATACATTTTGTTCAAAAATTCTTAAAATCAGCTAAAATACCTCAAAAGTGTTAACATATTAAATTCATCCGACCTTATATCTAGAAGCACTTTATTGGAAATTTAGGCTGAGCTATTTTGTAGTAAATTTTATGGGCTCTCAAAATAAGTTAAGGGAAAATTCTCGAACTTTGGCATTAAATTTTTTGAAGGAAAAGCAAATTTTAATTTGAATTTACTATATATTTCTCCCATTTTTCTTTTGTTGGTTGATGGTTAATTGGTTAGGTTAATGACTTCATACATACACTTAGATAATTTGACGGGAGGAGTTTGATTTCATGGAAGGAGAGTTAATTTTAATTTCAAATTAATCAAAATTTTATTTTCTACATGCCCTCGTTTTTGAAAATTAAAAGTTTTTCAATTAAAAATTTTTAAATTTAATTTATTTAATAATATTAAAAAAAATTTATTTAAATAAATTTTCCAATCAATAATTTCTTAATAAAATTATTTAAAGAGAGGGCATTGCTTATAAAAAATCAAGACATGCCTTCACATAGACGTTAATAATAGATTGTTGGCAATGGGTGCACCACACTTTATCGCGCTCCCATTATACCGCCGAGCTATAACTTCGTTCAAAATTATCGAATCCGGGAGGCCCTGGTATGGTTCGATGCGCCTCAACGAGCTGAATCGAACCATACCAGGGCCTCCCGGATTCGACAATTTTGAACGAAGTTATAGCTCGGCGGTAAAGTGGCCTGCTCCCGTTGGCATTTTATCTTGTTATCCTTGCCTCTTCTCTCTCTTTCAAAATCTATTTTACATTTTATTAAGCAAGGTGTATTAAGCAAGGTTTTTAAATCACTTAACTCTATTTTAATTAAAAAATATTTTTATAAATAAATTTATTTAAAAATTAAAAAAATATTTTTAGAGAAAAATGTTTTTAAAATTAATTGTTTTAATTTTCTTTTTGTTAATTTTTGTAAATATTTCCATTGGGAAAAATTGAGAATGTCCTAAAAATGGACAAAAAAGTTTGGGGTTTCGTCGATTTAAAAGAGGTTTTGGTTGTAACTGTTTTAGAGGAGAATCGAGTAGTCATTCTAAAAAGGGAGAAGAGCAAATTAATGAATTTGTTCGGTTTGAAGAAGACGAACTTAAACAAAACGAGGAAGTTGAAAATGTTGAGGAAGTTCGAGAGAGTAGTAGTTCAACCAGAGGGAAAGGAATAATGAAGAAAGAAAAAGTTTTGTATATTGGAGATAATTTTTTCTTCTCGCATATACAATTTAATGTATGTAGTACCTATCATAATTTGTAAAAGAAAAAGCCGCCTCCGATCGGGCAGTAACCATGGACTGACTATTCTATTGACTTATCATCTGCTTATCGGAAATCGGAACTGGCTCAAAAGTCGAAACTCGGATAAAGGGAAAGGAATAATGAAGAAGAGAAAAGTTTTGTATATTGGAGATAATTTTTTCTTCTCTCATATACAATTTAATGTATATAATTATCTCTCCTTTTCAACGCCCTCTCTCTCCAATAGAAGATATAAGAAAAGTTGACTAAGCCTTATATCCCTCAAAATCCAAATCTAATGATATCTCCATAATCCCTAAATCCCTAATTATTGAATATCCTTTTATATCACTGGACACTATTTTCTCCCCCGCTCTGTTCGCCGCTCCGAACATTTAGAAAACCTCCTCCACCCCAAGCCTTAGGAGCCCAATCATAAATTTTTGGCGATTTTTTCGAAAACGAATAGTAGAGTATGCCGTGTATTGGGAATGCCATTTTAATAGAGATGCCGTTCATTAAGAGAGACAACAAAATTAAGTAGATAATCATTTAATATTAAAAATTTAGACAATGTTGGCAACTATTTTATCAGAACATTATCAAGTTGTAAGTTAACAAATTCTGATTTTATTATTATCTTTTTAATTTTAGGATATGCTTATCTACACAAATACAGAAACTGGACGTTCTGTAACCTCAACTAAATTTACTGTCATTAATGTACCCATAAATTTAACTCGTTCTGACTCAACTCAGACAGTAGCGGAACGAATGAGAGAATTTAGATTTTCTGAGGAATATAGGAATGTCGGGATATATAAAGGTAATATGTAATTTTTTTAAATGCCTAGGGCTTCTCATAGGGCCAAGCATTCTAGGTTAAATGTACAATATTTAGACACGTATTAATTAAAAAAATTTTTAATTAAAGAATTTATTGAAAATACAAAAGTCAACATTGAAAATCACCACGAAATTGGAATTCTTGATTATCTTCGTCATCAAATTCGTCATCAAAATTATATTTTTGGAATTGCCGAGTTTGAAATTATGGCGGGTTCTTTTGCTGTTTTTCACGCTTTGGGAATAAAAAAAACTTTTAATGTTGCTGCTACTGTATTCTTTCCAAAATATCTTCAATTGCTTGAAATTGATGTTACTGAGTATATTATTCCTGGTTAGTAGATTATCAACATATTTACAATTTTTGTTGAGTTTCAGATTAAAGCTTATACATATGTACTTTTCTAAAATAATTTATGAGTTTTTTAGAGATCGGAATTTCGTTTTGGTCGGTTGGCCTGTCCGATCACTAGTTTTTTTTTATTAATTAATTATGAACGTATTTGAATAATTGTATTAATTTTAATTACACTTATAAAATAAAATGAGCAGCGATGGGAAAGTTCCAGTTCCGGAACTGGAACTGGCAAAGGTCCGGCAAAGGTTTTCTCTTAGTTACTTCCTTCATAAAAAGTTAGGGATAAACCTTCAGTCAGAATTAGACAAATTTTAGAGGTAACATGCTTGTGGGGCTATATTTTAGTGTTTTCTATGACAAGGGTCATCTTAGTTTATGCTTTTTCAAAATTATTTAAAAATTAATTTAAAGAATTTTCTTCTGTTAAACCTGGAGATTGGGACAAAAAGAAAGGAATCTGTAAGATAAATTCTAATAGATTCAAGGAAAATATGGAGAAACACAAAGAAATGAATGAATCGTTAATAAAAGAATTTGAAGAATCAGATAAATTCTATGATAATTTGTACACTAACTATGTTAAAAATGAAGAAATAATCCCCCCTTTACCGATTGAAGACTTATTTAAAAATATTAATTTTCATTTTATCAATCAGCATCCTCTTGGAATATTCGATGATTTTCCAAAATTGGAAGATAAAATTATGTATTTTGGGGGAATTATTGTTGAAAAACAAGTAAAATTGACACAAGATAAATTTAAAATAGAAAAAGTAAGATTTTTATGTAAATATTATTTTAATAAAGATGAACGGGGACTTGTTTAAATTTTCTAAAATCCAACAAAACGATAAATAATTTAGGTTTACCTCAAAATAAAATTAAATAAAATTTAAAAACTTTCACAATAGCAAGTCACACAAATCTTTGTCAACGATATAATTAATACAAAAAAATTGCCAATACTTAAGACAATTTTCTGTCTCAAAGCTCACTAATATACTTAAATTAGTAATTATTATTAAAATTTATCAAATAAATTATTACATAAACATTTATTTAAAAAATTATTTAAGCCGCCCTGTGTTGTTTATGTCTCATTTGGTTCTCGTAAAGTATCAGATATTTCAAATATATTCGGTGATCAAGTTATTAAACAAATGATTACTGAATTCGAAAAATATGATAATTGTGTATTTAAAGCTAGATTAGAAGAAAAGTTTTTACCCGAGAGGAACATTGATCCTTCTGGATTTAGTTCGTACAAAAATATAGTTTTTACAGAAAAAAGTACTAAACAACAGAATATATTATGTAATTAATTTTAATTATTTCTTACACTTAACAGATAACTGGATGTGAGATCGTACAGCCTTCGGTTAAAAACCTTATCCTTATTTAATAGTAGGTGGATTCAGAGGTTGACACACTTAATAGACTCAGATTATTTAATTTATCATAAAAATCAAAATCAATGTCAAATTTCTGGGACAAGATAAGTTCTAGTCCATTACTTTATATTGGGCGTCTTGGGGATCCTGCTCCGCCTTTTTCAAATCTTGCCTCGGCTTCAGGGTTTCAAAATCATAGCTATGAAGCTGGCTCCGAAATTGGCTTCATCTTTTATTATTCTTGGAGTCATCATATATTTTTTCCAGCTAAAACGAACACGAAATTGTTCATTTCGCACTGTGGATTGAACGGATTGAATGAGGTTAAGTAATTAGAAAATTAATTTGAAAAACGTTTTAAAGGCTCTTTTATTTATCTAAAAATTAATTAACTTTTTAAGGCAATGTATGCTGGAGTTCCTTTGATTTGTATTCCGTGAGGAGAAGATCAACCATACAATGGCTCCCTTACTGAACACAAAGGCATTGGAATTTTAGTTAAACATGATGAACATTTTGAGAAAGCTTTCAAGGATGCTCTCAACAATATTTTAATGAAAAAGAATGAGTAAGGATGTTATAAATTTTCTTTGTCAGGTGCCGGAACGTTTACAGTCGGTCTTAAAGTATGACTTGGTTGGCTGTTAGGGATTAGTTATTTTTGTTTAGCACTTTGTGTAGACGAATAATTTTTTTTATTTTTATAAATTTTTATTAATTTTTAAAATTTTTTCTCTAAGTGACTACCAAAATGCTATGACCGAAATGCGAGCAGCTGTTCATGAAATGCTCAAACACGAAAAGTCGCCCAAAGAAAAATTTCTTGAAAAGATTTTAGAAGTTATTAATTCTTAAAATGATAAAGAAGATGAAGGATTTTGAGGGTTTTTGAGAATTTATTTAAAACAAACAATTCGCGATATTTGCGACGGACTAAAAAATATTTAAAAACCCAAAAAAATATAAAAAAAATATAAAAAAATCAAAAACATTTTTTTAAACAAACGGGATTTTTTTGAAGAAGTTTTTTAGATTTTATTTCAGGGTCAGATAAGTTTTTTTAGATTAGTTGTCGAACGTTATTTATTTATTTTCAAGAATTTCTAAATATGTACAAAAGGGTAAATGTCCAGCTTGCTGCCCACATGCAAAGGCTTTCACCTATCATTTGATAACCTGGCAGAATTACGGTAGAGAGAAGGAGAGGGGAAATACAGCAAAAAATGATTTATGCAGAATTCCCTTTGCGGATATGTGGATTGCGAGCTGGACATTTACCGTACAAAAGCTTTGGGACAAATTGTATTTCTATGAGTGAATTTTTTTTATTCAAAAATTGAAATTTTGATTAATTTTTAAATTAAATAATTCTAAATTGTAAAAATTCACTCAACTTTATTTGATATGTTTTTATTAAATATTTTTTTCTGTTATTTACATAGAGATCGGAATTTTAATTTAACTGAAAATTAAAAAATTTCTATAGCAGATTTCTAAGCTTCCTCGATTAATTATTCCTCCATCGAGAGGTCAAAATTAATTACCAAAGTAAATGGTGATTATTCTACAAGTTATCGAAAGCTAATCGAAAGTTATTTTTCATTCCCGATGAAGCTAAATAAAATTTAGATAGGAAATTTTCTTCCAACCTCGGTCCCTCCGATCTCTATTTTTATGGGTAAACAAAAAACATATTATACAATATTTCAATTATTGTCATTTAAAACCGATCAATCACAATCACTCATTTAAAACCGATCAATCACAATCAGTTTTCGATTTTTAAAAATTTTCTAAATTGATTTTCGGGGTTGGGGGAAATTATGAAAATACTTTTTTTTAGATTTTAGTAGCACTTTTTTAAAATTAATCGGTTTAATTTTAACAAAAATCGTAAATTTTTGGTTAAAAACCGTTCTTGACTAACTTAACTTCAATTATAGTTATACGTAAATTAGAGAATTTTGAATTTTTTAAGTCCTCCAAAGGTTATTTTCTAAAGACAATGTAAATGATTTTCAATTTTTATTTATTTAAATTACATTTTAGTAGTAGTTAAATGATTTTTTGGATAAATTTTTTAGACAATTTTTGTTTTTAATTTGATTGAATTATTTAAAAGGTTTGCACGGTTTGTCGTCGAAGACACCAAAAATTTTATTTCTTCTTTTTCAGCGCCGCGTTTTGGAAGGCTTTCTGCAAGCTTTTGGAAGGCTTAACATAAATATATTGACATTTTATACAAAAACTACAAGAAAATTTAAAAAATCCTCATACTCTTCAAAAACCCACAAAAATCCCCAAATCCGCATTTTTAAAAATAGTCCTTATTGACATATCAAAAAACCAAAAATGAAGAAAAATCCGCACATATCGAAATCCTGATATAAACGGATTTATAATTAATTCTTCATATTATAAAGGTTAAACCTTTTTTTAATTTGTAATAATTTTTAAATTTTTTTTTATATTTAATTATTAATTTATCAATAAATATTACTTATGAAATTTTTTAATACACATGACTGTATAGTGAAGCATGCATTATTTTGGCTCAAGCTCACTCTATAAAGAAGGTATTCAAGGACGCATCAATTCCCATGGGACGCATGTCCTAAGCCAGGGGACGCATGTCCTAAACCAAGGTTTCATATTCAAGAATAATGCTAAATGACTTGAAGTTAAAGTATACCACCACTTTAACTTTTTTTAGAAAAATTCTAGAAAAAATTTTGTTCCTTTCTCAAATTGAAAAATAATAAAAAAAATTTTTTCTAAATTTAATACATATATTCTTTAAATAAAAAAAATTTTTTATTTGCAGCTTGTAATTAAACTAAAGCTTACTACGATCCCTCCTCGTGATATTTTTTTAAATCACTCTCTCTCTCTTCTAGCAATTAAATTTAGAGTTACCAAATAAAAAGTCGCAAGAGTTGTAAGCTTGCGGATTATTTAAAAATATAATAATTTTTTAATAAAAATATTATATTTTAATAATGATGTTTTTAGTCTGTTTATTTTTAAATTTAATTTGTTTTTTTTTATTTAAAAAACATTTTCAACAAAACAAAAATTATTTAGAAAAATTTTTCCTGGGACGCTTATACATTCATGTGAGCATAAATCCAATCCAGGCACTGACATTCGTGGGACTCGAGCCAAATATTTAAAATAGGTTTTATAAAAATAAAAAAGGGCGGATAGAAAAGGGCAAGTTGATAAGGGAGTTAAATTCATTTAAAAAATTCATTTAAAATTTTTAAGGAATTATTTTCATTTAACCGTTATTATTTATTTATTTAAATTTTTTTTTAATTTATTTGAATTTTGGGGATTTTATTAAACAACACTCTTATTTAAATGTAATTTTCATTATTTTTTGTTTGATAAACATTATTTTTGGGATTTTTAGAAATTATTTTGACTAGCGTAAATGTTGAAATAATTGCCCTGGGTAATTATTATCTTAACCTGGGTGGAGGGCGTAATTAATATTGAGGTGGTGATTATTTGAGAATAGGCATAAATTAGGGTTTTATCTTTCAAAGCTTTAAACTCTCGATAAAACCATCTTTGTGTAAATCCAACCGTTCTCCCTAATTTATATTAAATAGTCTTAATCTGTTAAAGGTCTTTTATGTAGTATCTCTAGATACTAAAAAACTTTTTTTTAATTTATTTTTCTCAAATTGAATTATTATATTTTTTGAAGAGTTTCCTCTAGTATAACTATAGAAGCAAGTTACTCATATCTTCAATTCTTTTAACTTAAAAAAATTTTTTAAATTTAATAGTTTTGAAATTAAAACAATCAATATTTTGTATAGTTTAAATTTATTTGAGTTTGTATTTTGTAATTTTAATTAAAGCTTATTCTCTCCATCTATGTATACAAGAAAGAGAGATAAAGAAAGACCTCTAAAATCGAAATTTCGAAACAGCTCTGTTTGGCAATTAAATTCAAAGTTGTGAAATATAAATGTTGCTAAAGTTTAAAAACTGCAGATTTTTAACTATTTAAATATATTGTTTAAAATATTAAATTTTTATAGTTAGCTTCGCAACCTGTGTGAATTAAAACCCAAATTTTATGGTTTTTTATTCCCATAATTAAATTTGTTGTTAGCGTTGTTCTGTGTATGCTTAGTAGAAGAATCAGATTGAAGATTAAGGGCATTTTTTAGTTTTTGTATTACTTCTAGCAACTTCCGCAAAATATATTACTCAATGCAAGGCCAAAAAGCGACGCAAAATGCATTGCGCTCATCTATGTTCCGCTCGCGCTATTTCATTTAAAGGAATCAAAAGCACTTTTAGTTAAAGGGCTTATCATACGTGTAAAATGGATAGTGGATAGTCTCTCTCTCCATCTATGTAAGGATGATAGTAAAGAAAGACCTCTAAAATAGAAATTTCGAAACAGCTCTGTTTGGCAATTAAATTCAAGTTGTGAAATATAAAAGTTGCTAAAGTTTAAAATTTGCGGATTTTTAACTATTTAAATATTTTGTTTTAAATATTGAGAATTTTTAGCCTCGCAACCTGTGTGAATTAAAACCCAAATTTTACGGTATTTATTCCCATAATTAATTCTGACACATCGCAGTCAGGGGTGAGCGCAAGAGACAATCTCAAAAAACGCAAGACGCAAAACGCAACGCAAGGCCAAAATTTAACGCAAATAACGCAAGACGCAAAACGCAAAACGCAAGAACGCAAAATTGGGAAAAAAATTTTTAAGTATTAGCCATTTTTAAGTTAAAAATTGCTGCATTACTATAAGTCAGCGAGTCCTAATTAAGTTTGTGGTACATGTAAGTTGGATGGGTAATGTTTTGGAGAGATATAGAGGATTTAGATCGATTATGAAGAGGATTTATAGGGATGAAGGGGTTTAACGAAGTAGCGGGGGTTTGCTGAGATTATCATGTAATTTGGAGGATCAAGGATATTTAAAACTGATACCATGGAATTACTGGCGGATGTCGGGTGAGTTAGGGAGATAGCGGAGGATATTGGCTATCTGTACTTATGAATTGATGAGGGGATATCATGGGATATCATGGTTTTCTGAGCCGTTCCATTATGGAAAATTGGTATTTAAATACCATACTTTTAGCGCCGCAGGCGCAAATTTTAAGAATTTTGGAAAGCAGAAGCTAGTTTCTTCCAAATTTTGCCCTCAGATTAGAAGGATAACAGAATTTGAGCATAAGTAGGTTCAAGGGTTTTTCAGGTCAACTGATCTTTTCCTTTACTACTCATTATACTTCTTAATTTTAGCGCCGCGGGAGAAAATTTTAAGAATTTTGGAAGGCTAAGAAGCCAGATTTTTTCATTTTTCTGCGCCGCATGCGAAAATTTTGAGAAATTTGGAAGGCCAGAAAGCCAAAATTCTTCCTTTTTCAGCGCCGCAGGCGAAAATTTTCAAAATTTTGGAAGGCCAAGAAGCCAGATTTCTCCAATTTTATCCTCTGATTGGGTATATTTTTTGCGTTAATTTCATCAAAATAAACGCAAGACGCAAAACGCATCGCAAGGCCAAAATTTAACGCAAATAACGCAAAACGCAAAACGCAATGCGCTCACCCCTGTTTGTGACCAACAATTGGACTTTGAACTTCTCTGCCAATAACTTTCCGTCGGATTCGAAGAATTACTTATTTTTATCTAAACAAGACTCGAATGTGACTCCTCTCTAAATGTCAGCATTGAATTCTCCGACTAGCGAACTTGAAAACTCCGTTGACTGCTTTTAACTGGAATCTTCGGCTCTAGGATTCCTTCCATAAATCCTTTGACTAATTGACTAAACTGCTGACTAATCTGCCCCGACTGAGCCATGAGAATTTTCTTAAATTCTTCTGCTCTCATCTTGACTCGAATTACAGAATGAAGAACTGATTGTTTGAATACGACTGTTCGACCGCCCCTTGTTATTTCCTTGACTGCGATGTGTCAGAATTAATTATGGGAATAATACCGTAAAATTTGGATTTTAATTCACACAGGTTGCGAGGCTAAAAATTCTCAATATTTAAAACAAAATATTTAAATAGTTAAAAATCCGCAAATTTTAAACTTTAGCAACTTTTATATTTCACAACTTGAATTTAATTGCCAAACAGAGCTGTTTCGAAATTTCTATTTTAGAGGTCTTTCTTTACTATCATCCTTACATAGATGGAGAGAGAGACTATCCATTTTACACGTATGATAAGCCCTTTAACTAAAAGTGCTTTTGATTCCTTTAAATGAAATAGCGCGAGCGGAACATAGGTGAGCGCAATGCATTTTGCGTCGCTTTTTGGCCTTGCATTGAGTAATATATTTTGCGGAAGTTGCTAGAAGTAATACAAAAACTAAAAAATGCCCTTAATCTTCAATCTGATTCTTCTACTAAGCATACACAGAACAACGCTAACAACAAATTTAATTATGGGAATAAAAAACCATAAAATTTGGGTTTTAATTCACAGGTTGCGAGGCCAGAAATTCTCAATATTTAAAACAAAATATTTAAATAGTTAAAAATCCGCAATTTTTAAACTTTAGCAACTTTTATATTTCACAACTCTGAATTTAATTGCCAAACAGAGCTGTTTCGAAATTTCGATTTTAGAGGTCTTTCTTTACCTCTCTTACTTACATGGATGGGGAGAAGATGAATTGCCAGGGCATTTAAGGGAAAAGAAATAGCGTGATGGATTATTATATTATATTTAAAAAGGGAAGGGATAAATATTTTTTATTTAAATGCCGCAATGCCTTTAGAAAAATTCATTTTAAACAATTTAAATTTATTTATTAAAATTTATTATTTTAATTTAAAAAATTATTTTAGAGAAAATGTATTTAAAATTAATTTTAAACATTTTCCTCTTGCTAATTTTGATAAACATTTCCATTGGGATAAAATGTAAATGCCCTGAAAATGGAAAGAAAAATTCTCGAGTTAAGAGAGGAGGTTTTTGTGATTGTTTGGGGGTTGGGAAAAGACACCCTGATTCTGAAAGTTCTGAAGACGAAATAGAAGAAGGTTCTCCAAGTCATCACGTAACAGGTCAAGTTGAAATTAGTCATCATGGTCATGTATGGACAAGTTATGGAGGAGGAACTTTTAAAGGCGAAAGTTCAACGGGAGGAGGTTATGTTAATGGAAAAAAGAAAGTTTTGTATATTTGCGACAACACGTTTTATTCGCATATACAATTTAATGTACGTTTAATATTTTTATTTTATTTTAATATTTTTTAAAAATAAAATTAATTTTTATTTTAAATTAAAATAATTATTCTCGAATATAATTTAAATTAGTTATTTAATTTTAAAAAATTTTCTAGGAAGTTTTGGCCAACATTTTGTCACAAAACTATAATGTTGTAAGTTATTTAAAATTATTATATTAACATGGTTATAATTATCTCCAGTTTTCCGGATATTCAGACCCGCAAATTCTAATAGTTATAGGAGTGTAACATACATAAGTTAAAGACTGGTTCAAGGCCAATTTTCCTGGGTTCATTAGCGCTCAGTAATGGCCGCCCTACTTCCCGGGTCTAAACCCATGGATTATTCTTTTTGGTCTATTTTGGAGTCCAGGGCTTGTGCTAAGCCTCACAAAAGTTTGGAGTCTCTGCGCCACTCTCTCATCCGAGAGTGGGACTTAATTACACTCAAAGAGGTGCGTGCTATTTGCGAAAATTTTTCTTCGCGCCTTCGCCTCTGGATCAAAGCCAAGGGTGGGCATTTCGAAACTTCTTGATTATTTTTGTTCCTTATTTAATTCTCTATTATCTGATTGTATTTCGATTTTATTTGATTGTGTTTTAATAAAGTTATGAGAGAAAACAAGTGTCCGGTTACTTATGGCGCACCCTGTATGTTCTGTCATAGTGAGAGTGGGAGAAGTGTTTTATTCAGCAATATCTAGGATGGAAAAAGCAAAAATCCCCCCTAACTTTTACTTTCCAATTTCAGGATATGCTTGTTTACACTGATAAAGAGAAAAAGAAAATGCCGGAAGGAAATTTTAATATGATTAAAATACCCGTAGATAAAAGACATTATGATAAAAAAGAGCCGAAAGGGAAAAGACTGTTCAAACATAGAATTATTCTAGAATATGGATATTTTGGAATTTATGAAGGTATTTTATGCTAAAATTTAAATAATTAACATGCAGAGGAAGTAAAGATAGTGTTTATTTTTTGAAAGGTTTACTGATATTAACAATTTTAGGTTCCAATCAGAAATGAGCTTTAAAAAATTATTACACCGTATTTTCTCTAAAATAGCCCCCGGGGGACATTTTTTTCGATCGACCTCTTGAGGGGGGCTATTTTAGAAGTGGGGGGGGGGTTATTTTAGAGGGAGCGGTTATTTTTTCGATACCTAAATTTTTTGAAAATCAAAATTTTTTTACAAAATTTTGAATAATATTTTTCTAAAATTTAATAGAATTCATCACATACCAAAAGTATCCTAACGAAAATCCTAGCCCAAAAATCTCCAACAAGTACTCCTCAGTCGATTGATTCATCCTAAACTTCATTACATATATTAATCTTCCACTTTTTATTAGAGATTTTCATCCAAATCCTAGAAAGGTGTATTAAAGTTTAAATCATTTCCAAGAGTTGTAACGTGAATATTAAAACACAAATTATTTTAATTTAATTTTTCTATAGAAATAATCAAAAACGTTGAAATTAACATTCCCAACGTTGGAAAAAGACAAATTTTCGATTGGCTTAAACAGCAAAACTATCTGTTTGGAATTGCTGAATTTGAAGTAATGCCTGCATCTTTTGCTGTCTTTGAAGCTTTGGGAATTGAAACAACTTTTGATGTAATGAATACTTCGTTATATACAAGATTTGTTCAATTTTACTTTGATGGTCATAATGAAGAGGAAGCAGCAAATTTTTACAAATATGTTCCCGGTTAGTTATTTTTAAGAGCAAAATTATTCCTAATTATATGAATATTTTCACTCTAATCTCGTTCAAAGACTCTTAATCATTCCATAGAAAACAAATTTCATTTTAAAATATTTTTATTATTTTTCCTGTAAAATAATAAAATTAATTAAAGAAAATGATTCCGCCAGACCCGGAGATTGGAATCCTGAAAATGGAATTCTTACAAATGAAGAAAGAATGAAAGAAAATGAAAAGGATCATGAATACGCAAATAATAAATTGCTAGAAGATTTTGAAAAGGGTGATGGATTTTATAAGGGCATTTACAGCAAACCTTCAACTCTCAAAGATTTATATAAAAAAGTTAATTTCCATTTTGTAAATCAGCATCCAAAAGGAAGATTCCAATATTTTCCAAATTTTGATAATGTTATGTATATTGGAGGAATTGTTATTGAAGAACAGGGAATTTTGACAAAAAACAAAATTGAGATTGATGATGTAAATTTTTATATTATTTACAGAATATTACTCCCTTATAACGTTACTTTAAATAAAACGTTGAGTATTTAAAACTATTTATAACAGAAGTTGTGATCTCCAAAGAAATTTTACTTCCAAAAATCTCAAAATTGCGCGGATATGGATAAATCTGCTCCTTAACCTGCTCCTTAACCTGCTAAAATCTTAAAACGCAATAAATGAGAGGTTTTACGAGAAATTATGAGGGATTTCGAGCATTGATCAATCACCTAAATCCCATCCTCTTAATCCCATTATAGCAACGTAATCCTCTGATAACCCTTCAAATCACCTCAATCCTCTAAATTTCATTATATCAACTTAATCCATCATCTACGATTCTGATCCCCTTAATCCTATTATCCCCTTTATTAACTCCTAATCTACCGATATCACACCTCAATCTCCAATATATACACAAATCCTCTTAATCGCTACAAATCCACATATATCCCTCTTAATTACCATATATGTCTTCAGCCCTTCCTTTACCCCAAATCCATCGATATACCTAATAATTCTCCGATATCCATCCAAATCCATTAATTATTTCTAAATAAATCTTTTAAAAAAGACTCGGAAATGTCTCGGTGCCCGACTCGATAAAGTTAAGCACGAAAGTGACTCGTACATGCCCGACTTAATAAAAACAAGCACAAAAATGCCTCGATCGTCTGCCCGACTCGAAAACAGCAACCCTCACTTGGTCTGGGATCGTTCCTTACTCTATTACTAAAATTTCTGAAAGTTAAAATGCTATTTCTGAAATTTTTAAAAATTGGCTACAACTTTCAGAAATTTTGAGGGATAGGGTAAGGAACGGTCCAAGACCCAGTGGACGTAGATATCGTACATGAAAAAATATTTTGGAACCATACCCCTACTTTCCAACACTAAGAAAAATCCAATTTTTTGTTAATGGGACGCATATACTTTCATGGGACGCATAAAAGTTCATGGGACGCATGTCCTAAGATAGAGCCACACATTTTTAATGACAGTTTCAAATGAAAATTTTAATTAAAAAGATAAAATATTTATTGTTAAGCCTGAATGTATTGTTTATGTTGCATTCGGTACAGTCTTCGAAGATGGTGGACTGAAAGATCATCTTTTGGAAATGTTAGAAGAATTTAAAAAATATGGCAATTGTTTATTTAAAGTTAGAATTGGAAAAAATGAGATAACAAAAACATATAAAGCAGATAATATAGAATTTTTGGAAGGATTAGCCCCACAGCAAGAAATATTAGGTATTGTTTTATTGGAAAATTAATTTTTAATTTTTAAAGATTTTTTCATTTGATTTTTCTGAAATCTTTTTAAATTTCGGCTCGGTAACTGAATTGGGAAAACCAGTATCGTTACTAGAGATCGGAATTTTTGAAAAGCCTGGGCCTGTTCCCGGGTTCCGGGCCTGATTTATTGACCTGGGCCGGATCCTGGGCATGTAATCCAGGAAAAATCCAGGAAAGTCAAAAAATGCCTGGGCCTGGACTCTGGGTAGAGGAAAAACCCAGGCCTTGGTCCAGATCGTTACTTCAAATTTATTATATTTTTAGCTCAAACAAATACAAAATTATTCATTTCCCATTGTGGAATGAACAGTTTTAATGAGGTAATTTTTAAATTTAAAAAAGGAAAAAAATATTAATTCTAAAGGCAATGTATGCAGGTGTTCCCCTTCTTTGTATTCCAAAATTTGCTGATATGTTTCACCTTTCTTCTATAGCTGAATATTTGGGTATCGGTAAATTTGTATGGGCGTCTAGGAAAGTGAAAAGGTGGGCGTGGTGGTGGCGGCGGTGGTGGTCAAAAAAAGGGAAACTGGTCAAGAAAGCGATTAAAAATCCAAATTTTATAAATGATTTTTCTGAGGCTTTGGAAGAAATGATAAGCGGAGAGTAAGACATAAATTTATAAAAAACATTTAATTTTATAAAAAATTTTCCTCAGTTATTACTTTTTCAAGGCAATATCCTTTTGTTTACATTTGGATAGCCAACCGATACTCAAAAATTGAAATTACATATACAGGGTGCGGCATAAGTAACCGGACACTTTCTTTCTCTCATAACTTTATTAAAACACAATCAAATAAAATCAAAATACAATCAAATGATAGAGAATTAAATAAGGAACAATAATGATCAAGAAAATTCGAGATGCCCACCCTTGGCTTATATACAGAGGCAAAGGCGCGAAGAAAAATTTTCGCAAATAGCACGCACCTCTTTGAGGGTAATTAAGTCCCACTCTCGGGTGAGAGAGTGTCGCAGAGACTCCAAACTTTTATGAGGCATAGCACAGGTCCTGGACTCCAAAATAGACCAAAAAGAATAATCCATCGGATTCAAATCCGGGATGTAAGGTGGCAATTCCTGAGCGCTAATGAACCCATGGAAATTGGCCTTGCACCGAGGCTTCAGAACACGCTGAAAAAATTCTCGCAAGTAATAGTCTTTGTTGACTTTTACCCCAGGATCCACGAAAATAAGGGGTTTTTTGACTGACGCGCTAATACCGGCCCAAACCATGACAGATTGGGGATGTTGGGAATGAGTGATAAGCTTATCGGAAAGAGGAGATTCTGTAGTACATATTCTATAATTTTGATGGTTGTGCACGGCCTATAATGTAAAAATTTTTTCGTCTGATAGAAAAATGTCCGGACATGCGTGCCACTGAAGGAGCAGTTTGCATCTTGCAAGCCTAACTTTTTTTGGTTTTTTCTGTTAGCAGTTGTGCTTTTTGGATTTTGTAGGGTTTTAACCCAAGTTTATTTTTGGCTATTCGACTGACGGTCCTTTCGCTTATTCCGGCTTCACGAGCCACTTTTCTTACGGAGGGTCGATAATTGAGATGCACCCAGTTTTTGATCATTTTAATATTCTTGGAAGTGATTACGGAACGAGGTCTTCCACTTTTTTGTAAGTTCTTAGTTGTGCCATCATTACTAAATAAATTTCAAAAAAATTTTCTCCCAAAAAATTTTCGCCAGAATTTTTTGATTGTGTCTTGTACAGTGCTCTTTGGGACATCTAAAAGAGGTGAAATTTTGCGGACAGAATTTTTTTGCAAAAAGAGTGAGATTATAGAATCACGTTGATTAGCCATAATAGAGAATTGAATGAGCTAAAAAATGAGCCTAAAATCAATTAAAAATATTGACAATAAAAAAAGTTATAAGAAATATAAAAGTGTCCGGTTACTTATGCCGCACCCTGTACATGTATATTTTTGTCATGAATTCCCGATTTCTAATTTTGGAATCTATTTTTATGTCTGGTAGATTTATTGTTTATACCCCCGTGGGGCAGAATCTTGGGGTGTTCTATCTCGTTCTCGGTGATTTAGAATTCTCGCGTTTTTGTTTAGCTCTTGACCTACAAAAGTATTTGGTATTATATCCATTGACGGCGAATTTTAGTATTTTAATATTAACCAAAATTTAATTTCAAACTCTTTCCTTTTAGAGAAGGAAAGACATATCTGGAAAAAGCAACTGAAATGAGAAATGAAATTCTTAATTTATATACATCAGAATCTGAAGGGCCATTTTGGAAGAAATTTATTAGTAAAATTGAGGAAATTGCTGAAATTGAAGGTAAAGTTGGAGGAGAGATCCAAGATTGAGAAAAAGTTGTTGGCGATGTTTTGAAAGATAAAACGATGAAAGATTTAAAAAAACTGATGATATTTTATGGAATATAAAAAAAAAGATTTTAAAAAATTGCTTTTTAAAAAAACTAAAAAGAACATGACTACAAATACTATGTATTATAAAACACAATTTAAAAGACAAAAAAAATTAAAAAATATACAAAAATACAAAAAAATTATTCGTAAATTTATATTTTGATAGAAATTTTTTAATTTAGTTTTATAAATTAAAAAAATTTAAAATTAGTAGAGACATCCAAGACCGAAAATTTTACAAAATTCAGAATCCAGACTGCACCCAAGTGGGACAACGAAAGACATTAAAACTCAAGACCAAGATTCTCTAGGGCAAGACAAAATTTTAGGTCCCACAGGGAAAGGATTTGCTCTATTACACAATATACGTCCAATCACACTTTATGGGGAGGATTTACATATAACCTTACATTTTATTCCAATATTATAAAGTTCTAGCGACTCACAAAAATGTTACACGCCTAGGGTATATGTTCTAAAACCCCATAAATGCCGGACTCAAGAGAAAGACTTTACCTTGAGACCATTACCGAAAAAAACATAAGAAAAACCTCAGTTTCAAGACAAAGCCTTGTACGTCTCTACAAATTTGTATTAAATTTTTTATTTTTAATTTAAATTTATTCATATTATTTATTTAAAAATTCATTTAAAATTCCTATGGAATTATTTTTATTTAAACATTATTATTATTTAAAAATCTTTTTAAAAAAATTTATTTAAATTTTGGGGATTTTATTAAACAACACTCTTATTTAAATGTAATTTTCATTATTTTTTGTTTGATAAACATTATTTTTGGGATTTTTAGAAGCATTTTAACTACTTTTTGAAATAATTGCTTTAGATTAATGTTTCTCTGGAGAGGGTAATTTATAAGGAGGGGATAATTGTTTTAGAGGTTATTTATTTCAACACTTACTTTTATTTCATTCTAAAAAAGGGATATAGAGAGAAGGGATATTGAGTGATTAATCTCCAAAGTCCCCGATACCCCTGTTAAGATGAATGTGGAATTGGGGGAATTAAGAAGATTCCATTTAATATTTTTTATAAATTATCACTAAAAATATGAGATTAGTAACGGAGGTTGATTATTCAATTTGCACGAAGATGTTGAAATACATATTGTATTAAATTGACCTCCCCGACTCCAACCACGAATTTTCTTTGAATGATTTCAAAGTTAAATGAATCCAAAATATTCCTAAAGTTCATAGGAAGCAAGTTAGTCATATCTTCAATTTTTTTAACTTTAATTTAATTTTTTGAAATTAAGAAAAAGTTTGCAAAAGTTTAGCCACCGGGTACGATTCGAACCTGCGACCACCTGCTAGTTGTTGCTAGGCGCTTTCGCTCATCATATGCAGGAGCTCTACCTCTATGTTTGAAAAGATAATCAAAAAAAAACTTTTTAGCATGCGAAGATAATCAAGCTAGAGTCAATGAAATTCAAGAGTTTAGTCGTAGTCTGAAAATTTTGTTAGAAGAATGTCGCATTTATCTCGAAATGATGTCAGATGACGAAGTTCTCAATGAAGCCTTCAATTATTTTAACTTAAAAACTTAAAAATTTATTTAAATTTAATTGTTTTAAAATCAAAAAATCAATATTTTGTTTGATTTAAATTTTTTAGAGTTTGTATTTTGTACTTTTAATTAAAGCTGACTTTCTCCATCCATGTAAGAAAGAGAGATAAAGAAAGACCTCTAAAATCGAAATTTCGAAACAGCTCTGTTTGGCAATTAAATTCAGAGTTGTGAAATATAAAAGTTGCTAAAGTTTAAAAACTGCAGATTTTTAACTATTTAAAATATTTTTTTTTAAATATTGAGAACTTCTAGCCTCGCAACCTGTGTGAATTATGTAAACCCCAAATTTTATAGTTTTCTATTCCCATAACTAAATTTGTTGTAAACATTCTTCTCTAAAATTATTTTTTTAATTATAAAATAAACTTAATAAATAAATTTAAATTGTTTAAAATTAATTTCTCTATCGGCATTATTGACTTTAAAATAAATTTCTTATTAGCATTATCGACTTTCAAATAAAATAAATTTTTTTCTCTATCCACTACCCCTTTTACACGTATAATAAAGCTCCCTCTTTATAAGCCCTTAATGCCCAAACACGCTTTTATGAGCCCTTAAAGCTGTCAGGGATGAGCGCAATGAATTTTTGCGTTTATTTTTGGCTTGCGTTGAGTTTAGCGTCTGCGGACATAAAAGAAAAATTCAACTCAGAAAAGTTTGGGAAATTAAACAATTTTTGGCATCGCAAACGAGATTTTGATATTTTCAATTGCTCGCCAATTTTGTACTCCAAACATTCTCCAGAATTTGTTTCTTTCCCCAAAACCCAAAAAATCTCATTTCATTAAGCGAGAGATTTACAAATTCCAAGATATTCGGGGACGAGCAATAACCTTGGGTCCGAATAATAAAATTAAATATTTTCATATATGTATAAACGATCACATAACCAAATATTTTTGGGCACACAATATTTTTGGATCAACAAATTAAACTAAAATATATTAAAAAATAAACAAATTTAAAGTTAATTTTAAAATATTTTTATTTAATAATAAAAAGAATTATTTGCAAATACCTAATCAGCAAATTTTTCAACTTTTGCGAGTTTTTTATTTCATGATAGAAATTTACTTGCCAAGGGGGAGAGAGTTGGTTAAATTTATAAAAAATTTCACGAGGATAGATCGTAGGTTTAGGTATATAATAGCTTAAATTTAATTACAGACTACAAATATCAAATATATTTAAATACAAATTTTAATTTTAAATTATAATTCTGCAAAAAATTTTCTACAGAAAAATCTTCAGCAACAAAATTCAATTTAAAAAATAATTGATAATGTGTAGCATATAACCTAATCTACTACTACATATTTACCAGTAGATTAGTTCCACATAATTCCACACCTTTTGAATTATGAGATTGTTTGGATTTTGAGGAAAGACAAACTAATTCTGGAGAAAGTTCTGACGACGAAATTGAAGAATAATTGAAAATAACAAAATCTCGTTTGCGGTGCCAAAACTTGTATGATTTCCCAAACTTTTCTGAGTTGAATTTTTCTTTTATGTCCGCAGACGCTAAACTCAACGCAAGCCAAAATTAAACGCAAAAATTCATTGCGCTCACTCCTGATCAGCTTTAAGGGCTCATAAAAGCGTGTTTGGGCATTAAGGGCTTATAAAGAGGGAGCTTTATTATACGTGTAAAAGGGGTAGTGGATAGAGAAAAAAATTTATTTTATTTGAAAGTCGATAATGCTAATAAGAAATTCATTTTTAACGATTTAAATTTATTTATTAAATTTTTTAATTTTAAAAAATTATTTAGAGAAAATGTATTTAAAATTAATTTTTTATATTTGCTTTTTGCTAATTTTGATAAACATTTCCATTGGGAATAAATGTAAATGCCCTGAAAATGGAAAGAAAAAACTGCGACGTTCCCGAGTTAAGAGAGGAATTTTTTGTGATTGTTTTGGGAGTGGAAAAAGAAAAAATAATTCTGGAAAAGGTTCTGAAGGGCATCACGAAATAGGAGACAGTCAAGGTCAAGTTGAAGGTTCTTTAATTGGAATCGGTCATACTTTTGAGCAGGAAGGGGCAGGATATGGAGGAGCAACTCATGTTGGTGGTCATGGAATTCAAAGTTATGGAGGCCATACTAGTCATCATGGTCATGTAGGGACAAGCTATGGAGCAGGAACCTCTACAGTTGAAAGTTCAACAAAAAGAGGTTATGTTAATGGGAAAAGGAACGTTTTGTATATTTGCGACAACACGTTTTTCTCGCATATACAAGCTAATGTATGTTTAATATTTTTAATTTATTTTATTATTTAAAATAAATTGGCTAAATTAAAAAAAATTTTGAAATTAAAATTAATAATTTATTTAATTTAAAAAAATTTTCTAGGAAGTTTTGGCCAACATTTTGTCGGAAAAATATAACGTTGTAAGTGGTTTTAAAAATTATATTAACATGGCTATAATTTTTTGCAGAAAACTTTTAATTTGAAAATTCCATATTTTCGAATTTTAATAATTTTTTAGGACCCGGCCAGGGATAAGCGCAAGAGGCAATCTCAAAAAACGCAAAACGCAAAGCAAGGCCAAAATTTAACGCAAATAACGCAATGCGCTCACCCCTGATCCGGATTCGAAATGTTTATTAAACCATTGGAGATTCTCAGATAACAGAAAGGTCTTGGAAACATTTTGCGTAAAGTATTAGTCCTCTTTTTGGAGCTTACATTAGTCCTACACATTTCTTCAAACAAAGTCAATTCAAGGGGTGCATATCTAGCCCCAGTCCCAGTCGTGGTTTGTGGTCGTTTATGAGTCGAGGTTGAAAAATCGGCGAGGACTTGGGCATAGGCGAGGCTCGAACTAGACCTTCTTTAGTTTCCTTTAAATGCTTATTGTTAGATAAAGTTTAAAATATCGTGATTGAGGATTGATAAAAAGTTCATTTTATAATTTTTGTTTAATATTAACTTGTAGTTTAACAGTGTTTTTATTTTATTTTTCCAATTTAAGGATATGCTTGTCTACACTGATAAAGAGAAGGAGAAAATGCCGAAAGGAAATTTTAATATGATTAGAATACCTGTAGATAAAAGACATTATGATGAAAGTCAACCGGAAGGAAAGCGAATGTTCAAATATAGAATTAATCTAGAATATAGATATTTTGGAATTTATGAAGGTATTTTGGGTTAAAATTTAATTAATGGAGTAAAGATTGTGTTTGATTTTTGAATTACTGTAAAACTTGTATTAATTGCCCTCCTTCAAATAATTACCCCGCTTCCATTAATTATCCCATCCAGTGATAGATTGAAACAATAATTACCCCCAAACAACTTTCAAACCTCGTACATTGTGGTTTAACAGTCTCCCTAGATTAATTACTCCTTCCAGCGGAAGGTCAAAACAATAATTACTAGTGACCGGGGCCGGACCGGATCCGGCCGGATTTTTCCGGAGTCCGGGTCCCAAATCCGGATTTTTTTGAAATTTCCGGATTAAAACCGGACTGGATTAATCCGGAGAAATCCGGCCGGATCCGGTCCGGCTCTAGTTGAAAATCCGGAATCCGGATCCGGGTCCGGCAAATTTTGAGCACCGGATTTGGGATTTTGTACGGTTCTGGAATTTTTCCATTTTTTCTTGTATTTTTATAAAAAGGGTGGATTTTTGACCCCTAACTTTATTGAAATTCAAAAAATTTTCGCCTGCGGCGCTGAAAAGGGATGCATTCTTCTTATTGGCCTTCCAAAGATCGCACCCGGAAGGCACGACTGAGTCCCCCTTGTATATACCTCAACTCAGTTTCAGTACTAGGCCGAAATTAGGGTGGGTATAGAGAGTTTAAGCTTCATTACCATCTAAACTTCAAAAAATTTTTTGCCTGCGGATCTAACAATAGAATTTTTTCTCCTGAGGCCTTCCAAAATTCTCGAAATTTTCGCCTCCGGCGGTGAAAAATGGAAGAAATCTTGCTTCATGGCCTTCAAAAAATGGAAAACTGACTTAAGGACTTACAAAATCCTCAATATTTTTGCCTGCGGCGCATGGAAGGGATTTGAGATTAAGAGGATCCTTGGAGGAAATATTGCTCCTTAAACTCCAGGTACGAGTACGACGTAAAGAAAGGCCTGTACGAAAGTAGGAGCAAATTTCAAAATTCAAACACGCAGTACTTTATTTTCCAAACTTTTAACCTCGAAAAATCCACAAAATATCCTTCATAGCCTCCAAAATCCTTAGATATCCCTCTAACAACATTTTAAGACATAAACGACACACATATTACAACATTTTAACACAAAAATTATAAAAAAAATTTTTTTTGAAAAATACGGAAAAAAACCAGAGTCCGGTCCGGAATCCGGATAATTTCTGCCGGACTCCGGAAATTATTTTTACCGGATTAAAACCGGACCGGATTTATCCGGAAAAATCCGGCCGGATCCGGTCCGGCTCAAGTTGCAAATCCGGAATCCGGATCCGGTTCCGGAAAAATTGATTTTACCGGTCACTAATAATTACCCAGGGTAGTTATTGAAGGATATACGGTAATCACACATATTCACAATTTTAGTTTCAAATCAAAAATGAGCTTTAAAAAATTCTTAAATTATATCGGTCTTGATTTCTGTTTGAAAAGAAAATATGTGTTAAAGTTCTCATTAATGAAGGGCGAAAAATTATTATTGGTAGTTTTTTGTTAGCTTTTTGGATGGAGAGATTCTTACAATTCAAATTTTAATTGTATTAATCCTCCAATTTTTATTAGAGATTTTCATCCAAATCCTAGAAAGTTGCTAATTAAAGTTTTAATCATTCCCAAGAGTTGTACACAAATTACTTTAATTTAATTTTTCCATAGAAATAAACAAAAACGTTGAAATTAACATTTCAAATGATCCCAATGAACCAAACTTTCAACCAATTTTTGAGTGGCTTTTTAATCAAAAATATCTTTTTGGAATTGCCGAATTTGAAATAATGGCTGGGTCTTTTGCTGTTTTTGAAGCTTTAGAAATTCAAACAACTTTTGATGTAATGAATACTTCGTTTTATACAAGATTTGTGCAATTTTACTTTGATGGTGATAATGAAGAGGAAGCAGACAATTTTTACAAATATGTTCCCGGTTAGTTATTTTTTAATGTGAAATAATTATTTCTTTGAAGACTCACTAAAACTCTCTCGCGACTCTCAATCCACGAAAAAAATTTTTTAAAACAGAAAAATATTCTTATATTTTTATTATTTTTTCTTTAAAAATTATATTAAAGAAAATGGTTCTGCCAAACCCGGAGATTGGGATACTGAAAATGGAATTCTTACAAATGAAGAAAGGATTAAAGAAAATGTAGCAAAACATAAAGAAGCAAATAAAAAGTTGATAGAAGATTTTGGAAAGGGTGATGGATTTTATCAAAACAAACCTTCAACGCTCGAAGATCTATACAAAAACATTAATTTTCATTTTATTAATCAACATCCAAAAGGAAAATTCGAACATTTTCCAAATTTTAAAAATGTTATGTATATTGGGGGAATTATTGTTGAAGAACAGGGAATAATGACAAAAAAGAAAAGAGAGAATAAGAAAGTAAAATTTTATATTATTTACACGATATTCATTTATCATTTAATTCGTTTATCTTTTGTATAGGAGCCCGAATGTATTGTTTATGTTGCATTCGGGACAGTCTATGAAGATGGAGGATTGAAAAATAATCTGGAAATAATGTTAGAAGAATTTAGAAAATATGGCGATTGTTTATTTAAAGTTAGAATTGGAAAAAATGAGATAACAGAAACATATAAAGCAGATAATATAGAATTTTTGGAAGTATTTGCAGAACAGCAAAATATATTAGGTAATTTTGGTATTTTGGGGGATTAAGAGTATGGTTGCTGGCCCGGTTCGGTTCGATAGATCGATCGGACATTTAAATTTTGGCCCGAAAAAATGACTCAAACTTCGGCCCTTCGAAAACGGCAACCCTAACTAAGAGTGATATTAGGAGAATTATATTAAGAGGGATATCTATCACAATATGTAAATTACTAAACTAAATTAAATCCATTTTTAGCCCAAACAAATACAAAACTATTCATTTCCCATTGTGGACAGAACAGTTTTAATGAGGTAATTTTTAAATTTAAAAAGGAAGAAAATATTAATTTTAAAGGCAATGTATGCAGGTGTTCCCCTAATTTGTATTCCAAAATTTGCTGATCAGTTTTACCTTTCTTCGCTGGCTGAACATTTGGGCATTGGGATTTATGTTTTAAATGATGACCATTTTGGAGTTAGATTCTCAGAAGCTCTTAGTAAATTTATGAAAGAAATAACGGACGATGGGATATCTGAAACAGCGTAAGTAGAAATAAATAAAAACTTGTTAATAGGGGACAATCTCGAATATTAACAAATAATCTCATACATATGAAAGTGTTAGGCAAGCTGAGTTGAGTATTCCTAAATTGAGGAGAGGTGCTCTTCCAGAAACTAATTCAATTTTACTTTAAAATATATAAAAAAGCATTTGAAATGAGAAACGATATCCTTAGTTTATTCAATTTAAAATTTAGAGGGCCATTTAGAAATAAGTTACTTAATATGACGATTATTGATAATTTTAGAAACACACCGAACCATACCAAAATCGACAAACCAAATCTCACTTTTGTATACTACTGGATAGCTGACCCGATTTTCGAAAATCGAAATCAAATTTTGGTACTTTATGGACCTGTCATCCCCTCATATTTTGAGTCTCAGAGTTTTCCTTATGCGTAGAAAGTGGACAGTAGAAGATGGTCTCATTCTCGGTTTTTGTTTAGCTTTTGCCCTACATAAGTATCTGGTATTGTATCCTTTGATTTGTAAAACGCCAAATTTTAATTATTTCAGTATTAATTAAGCAAAATTTAAATTTTTAAATTCTTTTATTTTAGTTATCTTGAAAAAGCAAGCGAAATGAGAAATGAAATTTTATCTGAAGGGCCATTTAGTAAGGTTTTTCGTAATAAGATTATTGGAATTGCTGAAAGTAATGTTGGAGGAAAAATCCAAAATTGAGGAGAAGTTGTTGTCGATGTTTTGAAAGATAAAATGATGAGAGATTTAAAAAACTGATGATATTTTGTGGAACATAAAGCAAAAAAAATGTATAAAATTGCTTTTTAAAAAACTAAAAAGAACACAACTACAAATACTATGTATTATAAAACACAATTTAAAATACAAAAAAAAATTGAAAAAATATACAAAAATACAAAAAAATTATTCAAAATTTATATTATGATAAAAAATTTTTCTAATTTAGTTTTATAAATTTTAAAAAATTAAAATTAGTAGAGACATCCAAGACCGAAAATTTTACAAAATTCAGAGCCTAAACTGCATCCATGTTTCAACACCGCAAATATGATTAGACATTTTTTATACCCGCCTAAGGTATATTTTCATAAATGACGAACTCATGACAAAGACTCCACTTAAAGACCAATACCGAAAGAAAACATTCCGTACTTCAAATTAAACGCTGGCTGGGGGGGAGGGGGGGGGGGGGAGAAAATTAGTACCGAGAAACTCAAGTTCCAAGACAAAGTCTTGTAAGTCTCTACAAATTGGTATTAATTTTTTTATTTTTAATTTAAATTTATTCATATTATTTATTTAAAAATTCATTTAAAATTCCTATGGAATTATTTTCGATTAAACATTATTATTTATTTTTTAAATTTTTTTTGGAAATTTATTTAAGTTTTGGGGTATTATTAAACAACACTCTTATTTAAATGTAATTTTCATTATTTTTTGTTTGATAAACATTATTTTTGGGATTTTTTTAGAAATTATTTTAGAAAATGCTTAGAAAATACCTTAAATGCAGAAATAATTGCCTTTGGTAATTATTATATCAACCTCTGTGTGGAGGGTGTAATTAATATGGAGGTGGTAATTATTTAAGAGTAGGCATAAATTAGTATTCTTAATTTATCAAAGCTTCAAACTCGATAAAACCTTCATTTTGTAAATCCAACCATTCTCCCTTACTTTATTCTAAATGAAATTTATCTTAAATAGTCTTAATTCCTTGAAGGGTTTTTAGGTATACATACTAAAAAACTCTAGAATTTTTTAAAGTAATCGTCTATCAACGTATTTGGGTTACTCTTTTTAAATTTATTTTTCACAAATTGAATTATGTTTTTGTAGAGTTTCCCGTAGTATAACTATATGTAGAAGTAAGTTAGTCATTTCTTCAATTCTTTTAACTTAATTAAATTTATTTAAATTTAATGGTTTTAAAAAACAATCAATAGAGTTTGTATTTTGTACTTTTAATTAAAGCTGACTTTCTCTATCCATGTAAGAAAGATAAATAAAGAAAGACCTCTAAAATCGAAATTTCGAAACAGCTCTGTTTGGCAATTAAATTCAGAGTTGTGAAATAAAAAAGTCGCTAAAGTCGCTTACATAAAAATATTTAATTTTAATTTTTGGGAGTATACAAAACTTTTTTATTCTTTGGGCCATGTACTAATCCAGAGCTAAAACCCATGTTTTATAAAAAATTTTATCCTAATTTTCAATTATAATAATATTAGAAATAATTATAACTTTTGAGTTTAGTATTTATTTAGTAATATGCAGAAAGAGTAAATGCTAAAATTTATTTTAGAATTTAGGAGTGTTAATTTTTAGTGGAGTTTTCTAATAAATCGAGAGATTCAAAATTAAGGAAGTGTTGAGATAATGTTTTAATCCTTCCAACGATTGAAAGAGACTAAAACAGGGGTTGTAGAAGCCCAACAATTAATTATATCAAATAATCCGTTTAGTGTTTAAAATAATTTAAAAAAATATTTTACTATTTGCATTATGTCGGCATTTAATTAAAGAAAATTTTAAAATTGAATAACATTTAAGGGCATTTAAGACATGTGAGCAGTGTTTTTAAATTTCCGGTTTGCTTGTACTTGTACTTTGTACCACACTTAATTTTGGCCTCGTACTTCGTACCAGACTATCTTTTTGCTCGTACTCGTATTTCGTACCTACATAAGTACGAGTACAAATTTTGGTACAAGCTTATATTATATTTAAAAAGGGGAGGGATAAAAAATTTTTTTATTTAAATGCAATAATGCCTTTAGAAAAATTTATTTTAAACAATTTAAATTTATTTATTAAATTAATTTTTTTATTTATAAAATTATTTTAGAGAAAATGTATTTAAAATTAATTTTAAATACTTTCCTCTTGCTAATTTTGATAAACATTTCCATTGGATATAAATGTAAATGCCCTGAAAATGGAAAGAAAAAATTGCGCCATTCTCGAGTTAAGAGAGGAGGTTTTTGTAGCTGTTTGGGGGTTGGGAAAGGACAAACTAATTCTGGAGAAAGTTCTGAAGACGAAATTGAAGAAGGTTCTGCTTCTCATCATGTAACAGGTCAAGTTGAAGGTTCTTCAATTGGAATCGGTCATACTTTTGATCAGGAAGGGGCAGGATATGGAGGAGCAACTCATGTTGGAGGTCATGGAACTCATAGTTCTGGTGGTAATACTAGTCATAATGGCCATGCAGGGACAAGTAATGGAGGAGGAACTTCGACAAGTGAAAGTTCAACGGGAGGAGGTCATGAAAATTATAATGTCTCTGAAATAGAAGTAGAGCGTGTTAATGCAAAGAGGAAAGTTTTGTATATTTGCGACAACACGTTTTACTCGCATATACAATTTAATGTATGTTTAATATTTTTAATTTATTTTAATATTTTTGTATAAATAAAACTATTTTTTAATTAAAATTTTTATTTATTAATACTTAAAATTATTCAATTTCAAAAAATTTTCTAGGAAGTTTTGGCCAATATTTTGTCACAAAACTATAATGTTGTAAGTTATTTAAAATTATTATATTAAGATGTTATAATTATTTCAAGTTTCCCGGATATTCAAACCCATCAACTCCAATGGGTATTAAGGCTTTTACTTTCTAATTTCAGGATATGCTTGTCTACACTGATAAAGAAAAGAAGAAAATGCCCAGAGGAAATTTTAAAATGATTAAAATACCTGTAGATGAAAGCCATTATGATGAAAGTCAGCCGGAAGGAGAGCGATTGTTTAATCATAGAATTAATTATGAATATATATATTTTGGAATTTATGGAGGTATTTTATGCTAAAATATAAATATGTACATTGTTACTCAAATAACTATTTTCCCTAAAATAATTACCCCCTCCCCCAACCCTATTACTTATTCCCTCCAGCCAGAGATTAAAAAACACACGGTAAGGTTATCGGATCTGTTATCCAATATTTCGATCCGATCTCTAGATTTAACTGCTTTATTCCTCACTTAAGTAAAAATCCCCTCGATAACTCGGTAAAATTTTCGGATCCGTTTATCCGAAATTTTAGGGTCGGATATCGGATCTGGGCATCCGAAGATTTCCATTTATCCGACAACCTTACTGCACAGCCTAACAAAATTTTATTTTAAATAGAAATAATCAAAAACGTTGAAATTAACATCCCCAACGTTGGAAAAAGACATATTTTTGATTGGCTTAAACAGCAAAATTATTTTTTTGGAATTGCCGAATTTGAAGTAATGCCTGCATCTTTTGCTGTCTTTGAAGCTTTGGGAATTAAAACAACTTTTGATGTAATGAATACTTCGTTATATACAAGATTTGTTCAATTTTACTTTGATGGTCATAATAGAAAGGAAAAAGAAAATTTTCACAAATTTGTTCCCGGTTAGTTATTTTTAAAATAATACTTCGTTATCATTTTGTAAATCAACATCATTAAAATAACTAACCGGGAATTTTTTCTATAAAATTAAAGAAAATGATTCCGCCAAACCCGGAGATTGGAATCCTGTAAATGGAATTCTCGGAAATAAAGAAAGAAGCAATGAAAATAAAAAAGAACATGAAGAAGCAAATGTTAGAATGAGAAATGAGTTTGAAAATGGTGATGGATTTTATAAGGGCTTTTACAGCAAATCTTCAACATTTGAAGATTTGTATAAAAAAGTTAATTTTCATTTTGTAAATCAACATCCAAAAGGAAGATTCCAATATTTTCCAAATTTCGATAATGTTATGTATTTTGGAGGAATTGTTGTTGAAGAACAGGGAATTTTGACAAAAGAGAAAATTGAGATAGATGATGTAATATTTTATATTATTTACATGATATTTCGGCAGAAGTGACGTAGACATTGGTTAAATGGGCAGTGAGTGATTTGGGCAGTAAAAAATTTTTAAACGTTTTTTAAAAAATATTTTCCACACATAAACAATTTGAGTATCGTCAGATTATGCGTAATTTAGGCAGTAAATTATTGTTTTAAAAAACTATTAATACTCACAAATTTAAAAATATATCTAAAATTGTAAATGATGCGCACAAGCTTGGAAGTAAGCTAGTGGTTCGCGATAAAAAATCTTGAGAAAAGCTACTAAATTGTGATCTATCAATCAAAATTATGATTTACTCGATCACCTTGATCTACTCGACTATAACAGAAGCTGATAACTCCAAAGAAATTTTGCGAGAACCCTTAAAATTCTTAAAGATAATTGGAAATTTTAATTAAAAAGATAAAATATTTTAAGCCCAAATGTATTGTTTATGTTGCATTCGGGACAGTCTACGAAGATGGTGGACTGAAAGATTATCTTTCAGAAATGCTAGATATTTTCAAAAAACATAAAAATTGTTCATTCAAAATTAGAATTGGAAAAAATGAGATAACAAAAACATATAAAGCAAACAATATAGAATTTTTGAAAGGATTTGCACCACAGCAAGAAATTTTGGGTATTGTTTTATTGGAAAATTATTTTTTTAAAAATTTTTTTTATTTGATTTTTCTAAAATCTTTTTAAATTTCGGCTCTGTAACTGAATAGGGAAAAACCAGAGCTCTTGTCCAGTTGATGCGTCCAATGAAGATTTATGCTGTCCCATGAGAATTTATGATCCCATAAAAATTTATGCGTCCCATGAAATGAATTGAAAAAATATTCAAAAATTAAAAAATAACATTAAATTATAAAATAACATTTATACTATATTTGATTAACGAAAATGTAATCAACCAGAGGGTTCCGGGTTTGATTTATTGGCCTGGGCCGGATCCTGGGCCTTTAGTCCAGGAAAAACCCAGGAAACTCAAAAAATGCCTGGGCCTGGACTCTGGGTACAGGAAAAACCCAGGCCTTGGTCCAGACCCAGGCCGATCTCTGATCGTAACTTTTATATTCAAATTTATTATATTTTTAGCTCAAACAAATACAAAATTATTCATTTCCCATTGTGGAATGAACAGTTTTAATGAGGTGATTTTTAAATTTAAAAAGAAAAAAATATTAATTTTAAAGGCAATATATGCAGGTGTTCCCCTAATTTGTATTCCAAAATTTGCGGATATGTTTCACCTTTCTTCTATAGCTGAATATTTGGGTATCGGTAAATTTGTATGGGCGTCTAGGGAAGTGAATGATGAAGAGATTAAAAATGAAAATTTTATAGAGGATTTTTCTGAAGCTTTGAAAGAAATGATAAGCGGAGAGTAAGACATTAATTTATAAAAAAGACATTTAATTTTATAAAAAATTTCTTTAGACACCTTTTACAAAGGAATATTTTACTTTAAATTAGTGATACTCGGGTATCCCGATCCCGACTCCCGACTCGGGAAAAGTTCCCGAGTTTTTGGCTCCCGATCCCGACTCCCGGTGTCAATTCCCGACTAGGAGTATGGTGAATTTGAAGAGATAACGAGGGATTTGAAGTAATAAAGATAAATATTAAAGAGAGATATCAATGAATTTGAGTTATTAATGTAGCATAGGGGGTGTTAATACATACTATAGAGGGGATATGAAGAGATATGTGGCTAACTCACCAAAATTCCACCGCAATTGAACGTAAAAATATTTTTCTCTGTTTCACTCTCTTTTCCTCTATTTCACTCCAATGGAATCAAATTTTCAGTGCCACAGTCAAAAATTTTAAATTTATAACCTACTGTTCCGGACACGAATGTCCAAAATTTTCGGTCCGGATATCGGATTTGAATATCCGAGGATTTCCGACTATCCGACAATTTTATCGGAGAGTCTGGGGGACTTCTTGACCTAAAAGTTCTCAAAATTTTTGTCTGTGGCGTTAGTAAGGAAGATGCCTGGCTTCTTTACCTTCAAAAATTTCAATATTTTCACCTGCGGATGCAAAAAATCTGAATTTTTGGCGCCGAAGGCGCCAAAAATTTTTTGATTGCTAATTCCCGACTCCCGATCCCGACTCCCGAGGTCATTTCCCGGCCCGACTCCCGTTTCCCGATTCCCGGGTTTTTCTTCTCCCGAGCATCACTACTTTAAATTAATATCATGTTCTGGACTAATTCAGAAAAATCGAAATTTATCAGACAATCCAATGACTAATCTTCAAAAATGTTTTAAGCTACATAATTCATCAATTTAGAAATGCACCGAACCATTCCAAAATCGACAAAACTTGATTAATATTTCTGTTTCGATGTACAGTAGCTTCCTAAAATCTGGAATTTATTTTTTATGTATGTTAGATTCCTTGTTTATACCCCCGTGGGGCTGAATCTTGGGGTGTTCTATCACATTTTCGGTTTTTAGAATACTCGCGTTTTTGTTTAGTTCTTCACTTACATAAGTATTTGCTATTTATCCCTTGACCTCTAAGACAGCGAATTTTAGATATTTTAATATTACCAAAATTTAATTTTTAAACTCCTTCCTTTTAGAAAAGGAAAGAAATATCTGAAAAAGGCAACCAAACTGAGAAATGAAATTCGTAAAATTGGAAGAGAGAAAGGGCCATTTAAAAATATGTTTCTTAATACGATTATAGAAATTGCTGAAGGTAAACGTGGAGGAAATTGAAAAAGTTTTTGAAAGCAAACCGAAAAGGAAATTTGAAAAGCGATGGATATTTAGAACAAAAATTTTTTTTTGAAAATTTAAAAATTAGTTTTTAAAAAACTAAAAAGAACATGACTACAAATATACTATGTATTATAAAACACAATTTAAAATACAAAAAAATTGAAAAAAATATACAAAAATTAAAAAAAAATTATGGGAAAGTTTATTTTGATAGAAAATTTTTTTAATTTATTTTATAAATTAAAAAAATTTAAAATTAGTAGAGACTAGTGTTAGGCATTTGCGATTTTTCGAGATCGAGATCGAGATTATCGAAAAATCTTGATTTTTCCAAAAATTGATCGAGACGAGATCGAGATCGATAATCTCGAAAAATCTCGATATCGAAAAATCTCGGTCCAAAATTTCGATATTTTTTATAATCCCTTAGAATTGAATAAAAATTTATTTCAATCAATATAATTATGATCTAAATGTAAATTTGCCACAACCGAAAAATACCGACGATAAATAGTCGATATTACCGCGGTATTTCGAAAAATATCGTCGATATATCGTCTCGTGCCTAACACTAGTAGAGACATCCAAGACCGAAAATTTTACTTTTACAAAATTCAGACTTTGAGACCAATACTGAAAAAATAAGAAAACCTTAGTTTCAGGACCATGAATGAGCCTTGTTCGTCTCTACAAATTTGTATTACATTTATTATTATTAATTTTTTTATTTATTTAAAAATTCATTTAAGATTCCTATGGAATTATTTTTATTTTACCATTATTATTTATTTAGTTAAAATTTTTAAAAAAATTTATTTAAATTTTGGGGTTTTATTAAACAACACATACTAAAGTTATATATTATAAAGCATATAGCTATTTAATTCCTGAGGCTGAGCAGTAGGCAGCGTGGAGTAATGGCTAACACATCATTCCGGTCTACCGAAGATGCTGGTTCGCTCCCAGCCGCCGATTAACCTTTTGCACTAGCTAAAGGAGAGAAATAGCTATAGCCCTCAGCTGCTTTACTATATTTTAAATATTTTCTCTTATTTAAATGTAATTTTTTTTATTTTTTGTTGATAAACATTATTATTGGGATTTTTTTCAGAAATTAGTTTAAAAATGTGAAATAAATTTACATTTCGAAATTTAAATTTCGTTACTGAAGATTTTTCTGTTTCTGAGGATGTTTCTTCATTTTCTTTTTTAAATTAATTTTTTTTAAATTTAATATTTTAATTAAAGTAAAAAATGCATTATTTAAAAAATCTATTGTATTTGTAGTTTGTAATTTTTCTTATACATATTTTTACATTTTCATACGATTTCACTGCCTGTAAAAATTTTTCTCTTACATAAGAATTACACTCCATCTTCCTTAGCAATTAATTTTTAGTGGTAAAATAAAAAATCGTAAAAGTTGAAAATTTGCGGATTATTTAAAAATAATTCTTTTTAAATATTGAATAAAAAAAGATTTTATTTTAAATGTTAATATTTCCGATCACCCTTATTGGGAGAATTTAAATATTAAATTTTATGATTTTTAATTAATGTTGTTAAAAAAAAGTTTAATACGCGATTTGAAGATTCTCAGTAAAAACTATAAAAAACAATGGCTCCGGGTTTACAACATGAATCATGTGGATAAAAACAGATGATGATCACGTTTAGTCTCTTCCCTTCATTAACTCTCTCCCCTTCTTTAAAATGCTATGAAATTTTGAATAATTTTAATAGATGGAATAAAAGGATGGCATTTGGATTGAGAAGGGCATTGGGGAAAATTTTTCGGGGAGGGTCTCTCACTCAACACTCGCTTGCGTAAAGGCATTGACATTGCCATTAATATATAATTTTAATATATTTTTTTTTAATTTTTTAATAAATATAAATATAATTTTACAATTTTTTACTAAATATAAAAAAATATAAAACTATTTTACAGAAAATGTATTTAAAATTAATTTTAAACATTTTCTTCTTGTTAATTTTGATAAACATTTCCAATGGAGAATTGTGTAAATGTGATAAAAAGACAGGAAAAATTTTGCGCAATCACCGATATAAAAGAGGGTTCAAATGTAACTGTTTTTCAGGTGGAGCAGGAAGCTCTAAGAAAGGTTCTGATGAAGGAACTTCTAAAAGAAGTTCGGGAAAAGGTCTTAATAAAGGCAAAAAGCCTGCAGTCGAGAATTTTAGCCGCTTTGAGAAGGACGAAATTAAAAAAGAAAATGCAGTAAAAAATTTTGATGAAAGGATGTTAGGAGGTTATTATAATTTTGATCAAGATAATTCAAGCAAGAAAAGAGTTTTGTATATTGCCGATAATTTTTTCTACTCGCATATTCAATTTAATGTTAGTTTAAAAACTTTAATTTAATAATTAAATTTTTTAGTTGAATTTGGCCAATTTGTTATCGACAAAATATATTGTTGTAAGTAATAAGTTTAAAACTAATCAACTCAATTGTGAAATATTACTATATAGTTGTTTTTAGACTTACTAGAGTTAGGAATTCCAATAAACGAGACAGAAAAACATGAAATCTAATCGGAAGGAGACCGGGAAACCAGAGACCGGAAACCATTTTTAGTAATATTTTCAGAAATATTACTAAAAATATTTTTTCTTAACTAAATTTCCGCCACTGTATGTACTATAGCAGAAAAGGAAAAATCGGGCGCCGCTCATAGAGGGAAAAATGCAAGAAAAGGGAAGAAAAGTACACATCCCATTTTGCGGACAGGTAGGACATCAACTGGACATTTGCCCTAAATAACAGTGTCGGACTGCCCCTAAAATTTATTTTAGAACAATGACGTTTCTAAACATCCTTCTTCAAAAGAGCATTGCTTAGATGCCTTTTTATAGATTTTATTTAATATTTTTGCAGATCTGATGCACAATTTAAAAAATTTTGTATATTCTGCTTTCCTATTTTGCCTTTTTTCGGATTTAGGTGCGTATTTTGGCGGATTTTAGTGCCTATATAACGCCTATTTTTGACTTTTCAGTGCCTAAAAATCCTAGCCCTACTCGTTAATGATCGCTTAACCCTCGCCTAAACGTTTCAAATGATTCAACGACACTTGGGGACAGACCTGGGTCCGTAAAATAAGAGCGTGGTTGCTGGTTAGGTGACCAACCAGCGCCCAACTTTTCCCCTATAATTTAAAAAGAAGAGAGAAGTGGCTGCGCCGAAAAAACAGGGAAGAAAAGAAAGAGGAAAAGTATACGGTAATTTTCCTCTACTTTTCTTCTACCCTGCTAAGGGGCAGGGTAGAAGATTTTTTAAAAAATCATTAAAAAGCGAATTTTGAAGGAAAAATTATAAATTTAATATTTTTAAATAGATTGAAGTGTCCTCTATTTTTTGACATAATTTTTGGAATTTTCACTTTAAAACACAATTTATGCGAATTTTTTTAAAAAAGTACCTCATTTTTCAGTGATTTTTTAAGAAAAGGTAGTAGGTTGCTAGAAAAATCATAACTTTTAAATAAATCAGTCAAAATTTTTGATTTTTTGCTAAATCATAGTCAACACTCCAATCTATATTCTGGCAAAAAAATAAAATTTTTACTCCATTTTAAAAAAAGTTATGATTTTTTTCCTAAATAGGGAGAAACAAGAAAAAACGGCGACGCCAAACCCGCGGCGTAGGGTCACCTTGGCGCTGCCGCTACGATGGTTACCTAACCATCGTCTTATTTTACGGACCCTGGAGACCATGGGCCATATTATAAAAAGGGGGTAAACAAATCCGCAACACTTTTTATATGTAATATCACCCAAAATTCGACAATTAAAAATTAAAAAAAAATTTTTTAAGTTTCTTAGATTTAAAAAATAAACTTTAAATTAACAATCATCAATTAATATTTATTTTTAAAAATTCAATAGCCAATTCTTATAAAAAAATTTTTCTTTAATGAAGGAGAGGTTTTTCGAATCAAGTAAAGTTTTGAAAATCGAAATTTCGAAACAGCTTATATATGAAGGCATTACATACTACATACAGCAAAAATTGGGTACAATTTGTCAATCCTGTCCTCCCTTATTCCCTTCTATGTCCTCCCTTATTCCCTTATAATTTATTAATTCATTTAAATAAATATTTAATAAATTTTAAACTTTCTAATACAAATAATATTTGATGAGAGGTTTGTAGGAACTAAATGTCGGTAAAATTGTTTTTACGGGATTTTCTTCCAGCATGGGATCCTGACAACCGAAAAAACTTTAGAAATTTTAAATATTTACATGTATAATAAATATTTAATTATTAAAAGAATTATTTTAATATTTTTAAGGAAATGTATTTAAAATTAATTTTTTGCATTTTCTTATTTTTTCTAATTTTTGTCAATTAATCCACTGGAAAAAATGTAAATGTCCAACAAATATAAAATCCTCTGTCCATTCAAAAAATCCAAAAAAACAAACAAAAAATCCTTTGTTTCAGCGTCGATTTAAAAGAGGAAATTATATTTGTGGAAGGGTACAATTTCCTCCGATATCCACACTAACCCTGCGATATCCTTCTAATTCTTCTAAACTCCTCTAAATCCACGGATATCCTTCGAATACACCAATATCCCCAATATCTATTACGTAAAATTTTTTTTGTAAAAATCCCAGAATCCCGGCGGGATCCCTGTAAATTTCAGAACGTGATTATTGGGATAACGGGATTTACGGGATTAATCCAGCGGGATCACTTCCCGTATAAAATGTAAAAAAATTTTGTTACGGGATGCTGGGAATGCGATTTTACCGATCTCTAGTTCTATTAGAGGTCGTAGTTTGTAATTAATATTAAACTTTATATACGCAAACATACGATCTCTCGTAGACTTTTCTCTTTTTGAATCTCTCTCTTTTGACATTGCCAAGAGATGGAGAGAGAGATTCAGTAAAAGAGGAAAGTTTTAAAAAAGGGATCGTATGTAAATGTATAAATATAAGGTTTAATATTAATTACAAACTACAAACAGCTCTTCTTGGCCGGCAAATTATGAGTTGTGAAATAAATAATCCGCAAAATTTTGCGGATTATTGGAAAAAATTCTTTTTTAAATATTGAATAAAAATTATTTTATTTTAAATATCAGAGGTTTCATGTCTCACAAATTTAGTAAATTAAAATCTAAATTCTATGCTTGTTTATTTTTTTATTGAATTTATTTTAACGCCCAAAAAATACCTAATAAACAAATTAAAAATTTTCTATAAAAACAATGGCTAAGGCCAAAATTATTTCCCATTACCCCAGGCCCGCAAAATCACCAGAACTTAAACCGTCGAAATGTTTGAAGATATAACTTTAAATTTTATGCTGATTTTCGGCAGTTTAACTAAGTTTCGGAGCCTCAATTCGCATTGTAGTGTGCTTAGGAGGATGTGATATAAGAACAATTGTTGTGGCTCGTACAGACTATTTCATTCATTAGATATCATATATTTACCATTATTCAATAATTTTTATTGTATTTGGAGATTTTTATTGTATCTCTATACCATTCTTAAAATAATTTTTATTCTGTGTTTGGAGCAAATTTAAAAACATTTTAACCATAATAAGTGGAAAAATAGGGGATAATGGATGAGTTTATACCTGTAAAAGACTTTCAAGTTTAGTTCCGCTCTTTCCCTAATTTACCATGAAACTTTTAATAATTTTAAGACGCGGAAGAAAATTATCCGCAAATATATTTGCGGATTGGGGAGGGCATTGGGGAAATTCTGTCGGGGAGGGTCTCTCACTCTCGCTGGCGTAAAGGCATTGGCATTGCTTTTAATTTTAAGCTTTTATTTAATTGATCAGGTTTAGTCTCTTCCCTTCCTTAACTCTCTCTCCTTATTAATTTTGAATAATTTAAAGAGATGGAAAAAGGGATGGCATTAGGATTGAGGAGGGCATTGTGGTCTCACTCTCGCTGGCGTAAAGGCATTGGCATTGCTTTTAAGATTTTTATTTAATTGATCAGGTTTAGTCTCTTCCCTTCCTTAACTCTCTCTCCTCCTTAATTTTGAATAATTTAAAGAGATGGAAAAAGGGATGGCATTAGGATTGAGGAGGGCATTGGGGAAATTCTGTCGGGAGGGTCTCTCACTCTCGCTAGCGTAAAGGCATTGACATTGCCATTAATTATTATTTATAATTTTATATAATTTTTTTTAATTTTTTAATATAATATAAATACAATTGTAGAATTTTTTAATAAATATAAAAAATTTTATAAAAATATTTTAGAGAAAATGTATTTAAAATTAATTTTATACATTTTACTTTTGACAATTTTTATAAAATTCTCCAATGGGAAATTCTGTGAATGCGATAAAAAGGAAGGAAAAATTTTGCGCAATCATCGATATAAAAGAGGGGTCAGCTGTAGCTGTCTAACAGGTGGAACAGGAGGAGGAAGAGGCTCTAAGAGAGATTCTGATAAAAGAGGTTCTGGAGGAGGTTCTGGAGGAGGGTTTGGAGGAGGTTCGGGAGGAGGTTCTGGAGGAGGTCTCGATAAAGGCAAACAGCCTTATGTCGAGAAATTTAATCGCTTTGAGGAGTACGAATTTAAAGAAGAAGATGCAGTAGAATTCTTAGATAAAGACGAGTTAGGGGGTTTTTATAATTTTGATCAGGAACATTCAAGCAAGAAAAGAGTTTTATATATTTGTAATAATATTTACTACTCGCATATTCAATTTAATGTTAGTTTATAACATTTTAAGTTAATTTAATGATAAATTTTTTAGTTAAATTTAGCCAATTTGTTATCAACAAAATACATTGTTGTAAGTATTAATCATTAAAAAATTTGTAAAAACTAATTATTTATCTATTTGAAATACTACTCTATTAATAGAATCATGAATTTGAAAAACCGACACCGGAAAATATAACAGTTACTGTTATTTTGGTATGAAATGTCAGATCTTGGGCTTGAGACAGAGGCCAGGATTTTACCCCAAGCTCTTTTTAGGGTAAAGCCCAAAAGGACGCGCGGCCATAAATCTTGAAGCATAACCTGCTTCAAGATTTCCGAATCTTACCAAATTTAGTATTAGACTATTAATCGAGCTAGAGTTATGGTGATAAAATATTAACTTATATGTAATATTTCTTATTTTTAGGATATGCTTGTTTACGCAAACATTAATATGCATGAAATAAATTCTAAAAATATTAATGTTATTTATTTACCAACATATACAGGCATCTTTCATACTTTTGAGGAAATGCGTGAATATATTCATCTCGGAATTTATAAAGGTAAGTCTATTATTGAATCTGTACGTTTTATTTAAAAATAATCAGTCCTATGATCTTTTCATTAGCTAGCTTCAGAGCGGACCTGAACGAGTTAATGATGGAA